TTTGTTTTGTTTTTGTTTTTCAATCTTTCTCTTTAGGGAAAGAATGCATTTTTCAAAGACTTAACTTCAATTCAGTTATTACCTAGTGGGGAAATGGACCCAAATTTTATTTCTATAAGACAACAGGTAAGCTAGCTACTGGATTTTGCGCTTGTTTCTTAGGTGGAAATAACAAAGCAGAAATATAGCTGTCTTTCAAACAGGTGGCCACATCTTCAAAGTTATTCCCAAGAACTACTTTCCCTAGTGTATGGTCCAGCCAGTAAAGGCACTTAGTGACCTTAGTTGGACCTCCAGGAACCTAGTGGCAGAGAGCTGACTCCTCCACACTCATGCTGTGGTGTGTGCACACACATGTGCATATGTATGCAGGCACATACACAAATTTTAGAAATCAAAAGGCCAGGTGGTAGTGGTACATACCTTTAATCCCAGCAGGCCGATTTCTGTGAGTTCAAGGCCAGCCTGGGCTACAGAGAGATCCCGGACAGCCATCGGACAGCCAGCGACACACAGAGACTGTCTCAAAAAACCAAATTAAAAATTTTTAAATTGTTTTAGTGGAGTCTCTCTGGTTGACAAAAAGTTGACTTGAGGCACTTTATTTTATTGTTGTGTGTAGTGGTGTGTGCAGACTTATATGTTCCAAGGCACATGTTGAGTATGTGTGGGGGGGGGGAGATGGGAGACTTGTACAGTTCATGGCACTGAGTTATTGTGTGTGTGTGTGTGTGTGTGTGTGATGGGTTTGTACAGTCCATGGCACTGAGTACGGGGAGGACAGAAACACTCTGTAGTCAGTTCCCCTACCTCTCCATGATCCTTGGGATTGAACTCAGGCTACCAGCTTTATATAGCAAGCACTGGGGGTTACTTTTAAATGAAATGTACTGACAAGGCAGTGCTGTGCCTTCCTGTCTTCAAGTTCTTACTGAAAGTTGTCAGTGCAGCTGTCCAGGCTCAGCATTCTGTCACCAAGGACAAAGATCCCTCGGAAGCGGCAGTAACCACTCACGAGAGAGACCACGACTGGCCAGCTCTGGCTGTGGCTTTAGCCCATCACCTTCAAGTGGGTGAAGATGTCATTCGAAGGCATTATGTAGGGGAGCTGTACAACTATGGGGCTGACCTCTTAGGAGAGGAGGTAAGAATGACCTGTGATGTCACTCTTGGGGCTCACACTATGAAACACACAGGTGAGGAAGCAGTAAGTGAATGTTGAGTTGGATATAGTCGTGTATGTGTTTGGGATGTGGAGGTAGGAGGGTGTCATCCTCATCTACATAGGCCAGTTTGGGCTGCACGAGACCCAGTCTCAGAAAAAGCAAAAGCCAGAGTTGTGCCTGGTGCCAGGTTCATGTAGGGTTAGGACAGTAAAACAGGATAGCTCCTTGTGGTACTGGAGGAGCAGAAAAAAAAGCATGGACAGCTCTGTTCCAAGAGACGAGAGTAAATAGAGCCATAGGGTAAATAGGAGCCTTGGTGCATGGAAGACAGTGATAGTAGAATGGATCTCTCAAGGAGAGGAAGCAACTGGCCACTCAAGCTGAGGAAACAGTGCCTCAGATGGAGGAACAACAGTACAAAGGTCCCAAGATGGGGGCCAGCTTGGCAAGGTCCAAGGCTAGAAAGCCAGTGTGCCTGCCAGACCTCATCCGCAATGAATAATGAGCGCCCATGACCAGCAAAGAGTGACAAGATGCTGGCTGCTCTCCAAGCCTGAGGTTACTTAGTGCACTCAGCAGCCACTGTTGCAGAGTCTAGCATCATCCCTTTCACTGGAAAATAAGGTGTATTGTCATACCAAGTTGAAAACTTAGGTAACAAACAAAATAGATGATGAGCAAAGATTTGGATTTAAATTCTAGGTTGAATTTCAATTTTCCTTTGTCCACACACAGTCATGTTGAGAGCTGAAGCAGGATATCTTCATTGACAGCCTTCAGGGACAGGCTGAGTAGCTCTCGCTGTATTGTTTCTCCATGTTTATCCTCAGGCCATTCTGCAAGTTCATGACAAAGAAGTTCTAGCATCGCAGCTGCTTGTGTTGACAGGGCAAAGGCTAGCTCATGCACTCTTCCACACCCAGACAAAAGAAGGCATGGAGCTGCTGGCCAGACTCCCACCCACTCTCTGCACCTGGCTGAAGGCAATGGTGAGTACAGGAGAGCATAAGCTTCATTCCAGAGAATGTTCTTATCGTGAGAGCTCTACAATAAAGCTTAAGGCAGTAACAAATATTGTTTGCCTGCATTAAACTAAAGGGTTTTTGTGTCCCACCCGCAGAATCCCCAGGATCTTCAGAACACTGACATGCCAATTGCAGCAACAGCTAAACTGGTACACAAAGTAATAGAGCTCCTGCCAGAGAGGCATGGGCAATACAGCCTCGCTTTACACCTCATCGAAGCTGTGGAAGCCATGGCTACTTTATGACAGTAGTCTAAAGTCCTGTGACCGCGTCAATCACTGCATGTCATTTTACACAGCAAGGATCTGGAACTTTTTAGAGTTTTTGTTTTGTTTTTGTATAATAAATAAATATATTACTTTTAAAAAGTGCAATCCTGGCTAAATTCCAAACTTCTTCAGTTGAGACTGAAGATAAAATACATAACTGTGCTACAATTAATACTGTTACTTTTTCCTTTCAAATAGGCAGATTTATTGGTAAACTTTGGTGTTGTAACTGGTTTTACTTTGCAGATTTCATTCTTACTGTAGTATTCTAGTTCATTTCCCAATGACTCCTGTTGGGATTAAGTGTGTTCATACAGCTTCCATCAGCACTCTAGAGATACAGCCTAAATCCCTTTAGAACATGCAGAGATGTGCTTATGCTTGGTCCTGCACCAGGATGCCACCTGGCAGGGAGTTCTGGGTGCTGCTGCCATCAGAGGATAAAATGGCTTTACTCTCACCAGAAGGGACCTGGAGAAGGACCCCGAGCCTGCTGTACTTGCCAGAAATGAGAATCAGAGATGTGAACAATGCAGCAAAAGCAATTATAATGTAAAGTAATATTTAGTCTTAATTATGCCAAGTTCCAAAATTGTATCCACATCAGGTAATTGTAAAGTATGTATTATCTTGTAAGATTTATGTAAAAACAAAAACAAAGATTCTAAAATATTTCAAGTCCAACTTTATTTTTCTTCCAAGTGTTTAAAAATGTCTGTTTCTGGGACCTGGTCATGTTGCCTGTCCTAGGAGCAGGACAGGGAACACACTTTGTGCTGTGACAGCCTTAGCAAACCTACCTCACAGCTGGGTGGAGAGAACAAAATGCAACTAGTTCTGCAGCCTGTAGTGCCTAGAGCAGTCCAAGTGCTAAACAAATGTGTGAACGAAACCCATTTACCCTGTCTGGCCACAGTGCTTTGGCACTGCAGATCAGCAAGCACTTACTGCGGTTTAGCTATTTTTGGAATGTAGCCATACAGTGCAATTATTGATGTCTGCCATGATCACAGTTGTTCACAGTAATCATTCTAATAGAGGGAAGATGGCAACTCCACCATTGTCAAAGTCTTTCAGGGACACCCAGTAAAGTCTGAACCTGAGCATGCACACGTGGATGAATTCCCTTCCATTAAAAAGTTAGATCTAAGGAAGATTGTGACTGGCTAAAACTAACGCTGTTAATGGTCAGATTTCATGCCTTCAAAGGGAAACGTTTCAGGTGTTGCTCAGGTGGCTGAGGAGCAACCGGCTGTGTGCTGCCATCTCTTAGCACAGCTTGATCGACATAAACACCACCCTTTACCCAGCCTAGGAGTCCATTCTCTTGGTGTCCTGCAATACTCTGGAAGAAGCAGGAGTAGGCATTATTAATGACGACAGTCTAATTCCATTATTTGTTTTGAGATGGGCATGACTTGTATTTTTGAGAATAAAACTGGCTAAATTTACTCTGGTAGGTAACATAACAAAACCAGAACACAAACTGTTAAGTCCCTACGTTAGATTTGTCATCCAAAAATGTAATATACATAGAATTTAAAAACTAAATCCTGAGTTTAACAAAAGGCGTAAAATATTCTACTACTTTACTAAGGGCTTTTAAAATAAATCTGATAAAGAAAAATTAATTTAACATTTATGTATCAATTCTCTAACAACAAAGTGCCACAAATAAAGGAATTCAGTTTTAACATAGTTTAACCCTACAACAAGGGCATGGCATACTCCCTCAACCAGTAGTGTTTTCCTATACAGCCCCCATCTCTTCTTTAGTTAAATGCTTTTACCTTGTTAATGAAAAGTGTTCAGGTAGTCCTAGCTTCTTTGCCCCAGGTTGTGCTTAGATGGAGGGGCTGGGGTAAATGTAGATACAGCAGTGTGTAGCACCAGGCTTCCCACTTTAGCAAAGTTAGAAAAGGTCACCTAAGGTCAATGTGAAGCCTGCTGCATTTAAATAGCTTTTTAAAATATGATTACTTGTGATTCAAAGTCATGGAAAACTAAGACTTAGTAACAATAAGCTTACATTGATTATAGTATTCACTTAGAAGTTGCTATGGCACATTTCATGAGGAACCATGTACCAGTGCACTAGAGCAACAGTGAAAGAAAGCCCTCTCACCTCACAGGGATGGGTTTGCTAGGCAACTTCTGCTGCTTAGTAGATTAGCCATCCTTAGAAGATCAATCCAGTATTGGATTGCTTATAGAATGCTCTATTATTTATCTACTGTCAATGTATTATAAAGTAGTGAATTCTGTATATACCATGTCTGTTCATTATTGTGAACTTATGTATATTAGTGAAATAAATTTTCAGCTTTCATGTTATTTCCTTGATATTCATACATCTAAGACAAGATTTCTCCCCTCTTGAAAAACAAGTTTGGTGATGTTCTTGGTTCCAGAACCCTGCTAACTTAGAAACTTGATGTCTGACTCCCTTCAGCTTGTGTGGGCACACAACTCTTCCATCCCCTGAAAATCACACACTTTCATTATCCACAACTTCTACCCAGAGTGCCTTTATTTTCAGACAGACACCATAGAACTTAAATACAGAATCAAAAAAAGTTAATAAAATATAAAATACTCTGTTTGGCCACATTGAAAGTAAACATATTCAGTGCCTGACTCTGCAGAAGTTAATCATGAGTATGAGTGTCTGCCCTTTATACATATATGTCTGCATATATTTCTGCGTGCGCGCGCGCGTGTGTGTGTGTGTGTGTGTGTGTGTGTACATGCGCACGTGTATGTGTAAAAACCTTTTAGTTACACGAAATACTCCTTTTAACATTCTGATTTTACCCCTATCTTCCTCTTTTGCCATTTACTCTTCCACTCCTTACCTAACTAACCCTTGGATGTCTTTCTAGGGTTCTAATAATTCACCCCCAGGCAGCCCTGAGAAGGCTCTTGCTCAGAGAGTGGTTAACAACAGAATGCTATTTTGCACCGATGACCTCTGCACACCGAGGACAGAGTGTGTCCGCAGTCTCGGCAGTGTGCTTCCAACATCGAGGGCACTTTTCTCTGGCAGTTGGTACGACAATGACTTTATAGGAAGACTCCTCACGGATGTCACCACCTTGAAAAGAGTACACAAAGCATCTCCACAGTCATTAAGCTCGCACTGCCATTCCTCGGTTGACTCAATGGGTGTACCTTCCCAAAGCTTTCCTCCCTCCCCACCTTCTAACACTGCCCAGGACCAGGTTTTTGCCCCGTAACATAAACTGTCAGTAACACGGGATCAAACAACTTGATGACTGATAAGCAGATAGATAGCTCAGGCCAACTGCTTCTCATCCAAGTCAGAATTCTGTAATGCTTAGAGCTGACATTCTGGATCCAGGTACACAGCAGACCCAGGATTTTTCTTTTTTCTCTATATAGTGTTGCCCTTACAGAGTGAGGCCTCCTCAGTACCGGGACTAAAGGTGTGTGCTACCGTGCCCAATTCTTAACTCAGGATTTTAAAATGCCAAATTATAGAGACAGTGATAATGCCACTAAAAACTTCAGTTACACAGCTCTTCTCCACCATTCTAGTTAATGAGGATGAGTCGAGGTGAAAACCATCTGTAACAGTGTACAAAATCCTGTGATAAAAAATCCACTAAATGTCACCAAACCCTTTGTAAGAATGGCTAGATAGTATTTTAGTTCTGGATATTCACACAAGGAAATTTTAGGGTCTGCATAGGAAGGTGGGTGGGTCTGGGGATTATTAGGTACTACATATGAGAGGACAGAACACAGGAAGGAAAGAATCACACTGACAGCTACTCAGTGGCTGAGAAGGAACTCCCTGCCTAGCCTCCATTCCTAGAGCTCTTAGCTGTGTACAGGTCACAGACTGTCGTACAGTAACCCAGTCCCATGGGAAGCTGGGGATGACCTCAGGCCTTCAGTCCCCTCACTGCACTCACCCTCCAAGTTGATGAGGAATGTTCCCGTTAGCTCAATTCCATCTGCAGCTCTCTCCCGTGGCTCCTGAGTCAACAGTGTTGTCTGGGAGGCCATCATTAGTTCATTCAGCTGAGACGTGCTTGAGGTCTCCTCAGCTTGCAGCATCTGGAATGCACATGAAACTTACTATTTAATTGAAACTTGGCCATCAATTTTAGGTTTTACTGGAGTATACACTCTTTTCACTTTGAAAACTATGGTTCCCCTCAAACCGTGATATATATGGTGTTTATTACACTTACTATGCAATGAGTAAAAGGTTAAGTTACCCTTGTCTGTCAAGCCAAAATTCTGCCAACTTTTGTTGTTGTTGTTTATCAAGACAAGGTTTCTTTGTATAACGACAGCCTTGGCTGGCCTTGAACTCACAGAGATCCACCTGCCTCTGCCTCCTGAGTGCTGAGATGAAAGGTGTACACCACCACTGCCTGGCATCTGCCAACTTTTTTAGGAGCCTCCTTTCCCCTGTTAGCAGAGGGGCTCCAACGCTGTTAATAAAAACCCACTTTCAGTACAGTGCACTGGTGGCAATCTGAATACTACGGCCTTTCCACGGTGCACAGTGACTCGGCTATCTGATAAGCACTTCTGAAATGTTTTCCTTTGTAATTTTGATCTTCAAGATGAATGTGAATTAACATAAATATTCCTTTAATATGAAAAAACATGAGACTCGGATTTGGTGTGCCTGGGCATGTGTATGAGCAGGGGTGGGGGAGGTGGGGCAGCTGTGGGGATGATGACAAACCAGAACTAGGATGTGCAGCAAACCACAATGGCCATCGTCTATTCTTACCATTGCCAACAATGTCATATGTTCTAGTGACTTCAAGTCTCAAATCTTTAAATTGAATTTACCAACCAAAATAAGATGGTTCCTTTTATTTTTAAAGACTTAAGGTGTGCCATGTGCATGAGTGTTTGCTATACTACATGCAGACCTAGGGCCAGAGGAGGGTGTTGGGCCTCCTGAAATGGCAGTGACAGAGTGCTGGGGTTAAAGGCAGACAGGCGCCACCACTGCTCATCCAGAACTCATTTTTGGAACATGATCCAGATGAACAATTTTCAAAGACCTTTAGTGTAAAGCTCTGGTTTTTTATGTAATCTGACACTACTGCCAAGTATGTCCAACACTCACCTAAATAGCCCCCTGCATGTGTCACAAGTTCAGAGCAGGGAACAATCAGTGACAAGTTCAATGTTGCAAGACTGAAATTCTAGTTTCTAAATTACTACACAGTCTTAAACACTTGAGAATAAAAATATTTCAGGTAAAGCTTAAAAGCTCTGACCAGTTCAGAAGGCAGTGATTCCAGGTAACACCATCCGTTAGGCATACCTCCATGATCTCAAACAGTAGCCCCGGTTCAATCACAATGATAACCTCATACTCAGCAGCATTTCTGCCAGGGATGCTACCAAGAAAGGAATCTCGCATGGCACATGCGCTTTCCACTGCCTCCTCCAGTCCTGGCTTCTTCCAGATAGAACTTGTATTAATCCAGCCAGTGCGAAAAACACTCTTGGGTTCTAAAATACAGGAAAGTGAACCGAGTTATACATAGTCTAGACAGCACTCACGAGAGACGAGGATGTGTTACATAGGATGTGAAATTCAGGTGTGCTGTTCACAGGATCCCCAAGTGAAAGGGTCACATCACAAACACAAGACTCAAAATGAAACACAAACATTAATAGTTGTTCCTTTTGACTATGAGGTTATGAGTGACCACCCACCACCCCCTTAAGTTCTAGTTTTCTATGGAAATAAAATCAGGAGGAAAAAAACCTACATAAAAGTGTTCACTACAGAGCACCATATTTTGCCTGAATACAGCTTAAAATACAGCTGGGCAGGGGTGGCTCACAACTTTAATCCCTCAGACACAGGCTCTGAGTTCAAGGCCAATGTAGTCTACAAATTGAGTTCCAGGACAACCAGAGCTACAAAGAGAAAACCTATCTCAAAACACAAACAAACAAAAAACTTAAAAAGCTATAAATACATTTTGGAACACTATAAACACATTTAAGCAAAAGTAATTTCTCAATACTGTCAAGTGCTTAATACATCTCCAAAGGCACAGAGACAGCTGACTCCTTAAGAAGTCACATATCACAGTGACACTATATGACACGTATAAAGCCCAGTTGCCCCTGCCCAGACCCTTCCCATGCAGAGTGCAGCTGTCCTTACCTTTGACATAGGGGATATGCTGGAACACCTCTTCTGCCAAGTGAGGGAGAATTGGGGCAAAGGAACGCACAAGCACATCTAAAATCTCTGCCAATGCAGTCTGACAGGAGCGCCGTTTGGGATCCTTCTCACTTTCACAGTACAGCCTGGAAGAGCAGCTTGCTCAGTAGCTGACACACTGCCCCAGCCTAGGCACATCCAGTGCTGACAGCACACTTACTCCATGCTGGTTCTGAACCACTTCTACCCCCATTTTACTCTCTCAGAATGTACCTGTTTCTTCATGTTTGCCCAGCTCTGGCTTTAAGGTGGACAATGGTCTAGATTACTGTCTGCACACAACCAATAAAGGAACTGTCAGCATTTAAATGAATCCCACCCCATTAGGGTTTTCAGGAAAAGAATGCATTTTAACCCCTATGCTAAAGCTGCTGAGGTGCCTGCCGTGTGACAGGCTGGGGTTGACAGCCCATGCCAGACTCATCATCATGCCCGCTCCCTCTTTGTCTGCTCATGGGAACATTGTAAAAGCCAGTGCTATTACAGAGCTGCCTGTCTAGTCCTGGGTCTGCCCACAAGGACAGCAGCTGTGACTCCCTGTAAATGGGAACCAAGCACATGAGCTGCAGTAGGTTTTGATACAGGGTCTCACTGTGTAGCCTGGCTGGCCTGATGTGGAACTCTACAGACCAGACTGGTCTCCAATGTGGAGAATATCCTGCCCCTGCTTCCTAGGTGCTGAGACTAGAAGGATGGGTATTGCCCTCTTCATTTTTCAGACACACTGAGATTGCACATTACACACTGAGATTGCACATTAAGTAGACCCCAAACATGAAGCTAGTAAGTGGCAGGGCCCAAGTGAGGCTTGACCCCAGGTCCCAGGTGTAAATACAGCCCAGCTGCCCACCTTGGCATCTTTGATGCTGCTGGGGACTGTGTGCTTAGTCACACTTACCTGTCCTTGACAATGCTGAAGTAGAAGCTGGAGAGTTCTCTGGTATAGAATGCTTTTAGCAGCCTGATAACTTTCCCAAAATCATACTGTTTGTATGAATCAGTAACCTAGAGAACAAAGACAGGAAGAATTCAGAAGCTGGAATGAGCAACGGAAAGAGAAGTATCGTCACCGGTGAAGCAAGCCCTTTCCCTAGCATCTCAGAGGAGCAGGCTCAGCCCCCACGCTTGCTGTACAGGATAGGCATGAAAATCAGACTTAAATGCTGTGTGGCCACGGTGGCCCTTCTGCAATGCCAGTAATCCAGCGTCAACATGGTGTCATGGGTGTGAGCTCTGGGGTTTCTTTTCCTTTTATAAAACTTGCCCTTCAAATTTTAAATATATTGGTTCACTTTTCTTATTGGTTTTACAAACTTGTTATTTAGGGGTGGGGCATGTGTGTATGGGCCACAGATGGCATGTGGAGATCAGAGGACAATCTACAGTTGCTCTATCCCACTGTGTGAGTCCCAGGGATTAAACTCAGGCCACCTGGCTTGGCAGCAAGCAACCTTACCTGCTGAGCCATCTTACCTGCCCGTTTGATTTGATCTGGTTTTATTGTGAGAACCTGCCTCAAAGGATGAGATGAAAGAACACGATCAGCCTTGTGCTTCACATACACACGTGTCAGTGCGCGCACATGTGCACATACACACTTAAATATACATATCATGCATATGACAAAAACATACATCCAAGACAGGCAATACTAGAATGGCAGAGCACATCATTCTAGGTGTAAGTATTCAGGCATCTGCACTGGCCTGCCCCTAGGGTTCTGACAGGATATATCCTCAACTACAGCCATTAAGAGAGAGCACCACCTGTGCACATTCACTATGTTCCTTTTCAAAGGGCTCTGTCCACCTCCCTCCCTCTCCCATTCCTGTCCCCAGTTTCCCTTTTCTCCCCTCCCCACTTTCCCCCAATAAAAACCCCTCCACCCAGCTGTCCCATGCCATCTTTCTCTTGCATGCTGCTTTTTAAAAAATTACAACTCTAGAGACATAACTACTCAAAATAATCACTACTCTACTTTAGAAATGACAACAAACATATACCAAGGAAAGAAGGGTGTATGTTTAATTGCTTGTTTTGTGTAAGTATGCATGTTCATGTATGTGTAGGTGCATGTGTGGGTAGAGGCCAGAGGTCAAGCTTGAGACAGGAACCATATGCCTTGTACTTTTTAAACAGGGTCTCTCCTTGGTCTGGACCTCAGGTATGCTCTCTGGCTGACTGATGAGCCACAAGATATACCTATCTTCAATGCCCAACCCCAGACTCACAAGCTCCTACACACCTGACTTTAAATGTGATCTGGGCTATAGAACTCAAACTTGGGGCCCCCATGCCTGCACAGCAACCTCTTCAACAACCAGACCATCCTCCCTACCCCTGGCCTGTTCAGGACCTTTGTGTATGCTAGAGAAGCTCTCCAACATCAAGCTGCTCTCTAATACCAAGCTACCCCCCTCCCCCCGCCACCTGTAAGCTTTAAGTAATGGAATCACACTTTTAAGTTTTTTTTTTTTTTTTTTTTTTTTTTTAAATCTTTTTTTTAGGTCTGGTGTGGTGGCATATGCCTTTAATCCCAGCACTCAGGCAGAGGCAGGGGGATCTGAGTTCAAATCCAGTCTAGTCTACATAGCAAGTTACAGGCCAGCCATAGCTACACAGCATGACTCTGTCTCAGATTTGGGGGAGGGGTTCTTCTGAGAGTCGGTTCTCTCCATGGTGAGTTCTGAGGATCAAACTTAAGTCATCAGGCTTTGGGGTCAATGCCTTCATCAGCCTCACCAGCCCATATCAAATCATTGTTAAGAGAGCCAAGAAAGGAAGGTGCTGGGCATTCATTGTGTTCCCTCACTTCTGCCCTCATCCATGTTTTCAGTGAAATCTGCATGTATGCTTCTGACATAGGGTACCCTGAACAAGACATGTCCAGTTTTGGGAAAACAGATTATGTCTCATACATGTGAGGTTCACCTTGACTGTCAACTGGACAGGGTTTAGAACCACCATGCAGATGATATATGGACATGGCCATGACAGTGTTTCCAGAGAGGGAAGACCCGCACCTGAACATGGATAGTAGGGTCTCGGGCAGGGGCCAGGGGACACATGCAAAGGAGAAAAGGAGAAGTGGGTGAAGCACCAGCGTTAATCTCCTGACTGGAGACACAGTGTCACCGTCCATCCCCAGCCACAACACTCTGTACCTCTCATTAAATTCTAAGTCAAACTTCCGGGAGGCTCAGCAGGCAATGGCACCTGCCACCAGGCCCCACAACCTGAATCCGACCTCTGGGACTCACATGGAGGATGAAAGAACTGTTCTTGGAGGACAGCCATGTGCGCACTGTGACACAGACAGACACAGACACACACACACACACACACACACACACACACACAGAGAGAGAGAGAGGGGGGGAGAGAGGGAGAGGGAGAGAGAGAGAGAGAGAGAGAGCGCCAAGCCAAATAAATAAATCCAAAATAAACTCTTATGTTGCTTTTTCTGGGGGTTGTCAGAAAAGAAAAGTAACTAATAGGGAACTCTGGCAGGTGGGAGGGGGTTGCTGGATAAATATGCTCTGATTCAGAGGCCGCCGGAAGTGTTTGTGGAGGGATGGGGAAGAGGCAAGGGTGTGGGCTTGGGAAGGTAGGACGCTCAATGGGTCCTTCTTGTGCTGGGAGTCTGGAAGGTGGCAAGAAAGATGAGGGCAATGGAGACCCAACTCACGAGAGTTCAGAAGGGGCTCTGCTGGGGACTGGCCACAGGCCAGTTCATGTTACTAAATTTACTTTATTTGCCTGTATTACCTCTATGTACCACCTGGGTGCCTGCAGAAGGTAGAAATGGGGGTGGGGTCCCTTGGAACTGTAGCTACAAATGGCTGTGAGCTACCACATGGGCACTGGGAATCAAATCCAGGTCCTCTGGAAAAGCAGCCAGGGCTCTTAACTGCTGAGCTGTCTCTCCAGCCCCTGCCCTGGTAACTTGAGTGAGGCTAAATTTAAAAATAATGCAGTAAGTTGTCTGGGAGAGGAAACATAAAGACAGTGTAGCATCCATGCTGTGCAATGTTAACTGTCTGCAATTGTTAGTCACCTCTATGACAGAGAGCACAAAGGTCTGAAAAATGTGTGGTTGGTGAGGAAAAGCACCTAAGTGAGATTCAAAATGCATACCCAGCAGATGCAGAGAGCACAGCAGCTGTAACTGTTAAAGACTAGAGCCACTAAAGGGAAAACTGGTGTCCTTTACGGGGACAGTAGGAAAGGTTTCCTGAAATCTCAACCACAGTCACTGAAGGCTTCAATGTATGAATGCATAACTGCATTTGAGTGAGAGCCAGAGGTGAGGCATCCACTGAAGGGTTCCCTATTCAAAATCCAACCGTGGGGGGAAGTGTCTTCTTAGGTTCTCCCCAAAAAAAAAAAAACACACAAAGCAGCTACAGCTCTGGCAGAACAGTCGGGTGATGGTGGGGCACACCTTTAGTCCTAGCACTTGGGAGGCTGAGGCAGGCGGATCTCTGTGAGTTCAAGGCCAGCCTGGTCTACACAGTGAGTTCCAGGACAGCCAGAGCTACACACAGAAACCCTGTCTTGAAAAGAACAAAAAAGGAGGACAGAAGACACCCTGAGTTGACAGTAGAACCTGACCAAGGATGTGGCTCGTCTTTGTGCTGCTGGTTTTGCAGGCACACAAAATGTAAGAGTTACTGGGCCATGGAGGCTTGCACTGAGGCCAGGTGATGTATGACAGAGTCATACCTGCAAGGAAGTCCTGAGAGGCTAGCGAAGGGACGATGAGATGGCTCAGCAGATAAAGGGGCCTACTATCAAGGGTGACAGCCAAAGTTGGATCTCTGGGACAAACAGAGTAGAAGGACCAACTCCCATAAGTTGTCCTCTGACCTCAACACATGAATTCCAGTGCACACACACTAATTAAATGTAAAAAAATAAAAAGCAATAATTCAGCAAAGATATGAAAACACTTCATTCCCACAGTCACTCCAAACTGTGTGGAACACAGCAGTGCACTTTCTGGGGAGCACTAGGTGTGATTTCTAGCAAGGGCCATCCACTAAAAGTTACGGAATAGGTGCTAATGTTGCTATTTGTCAAAACCTGCTGTTGTATACTGACCTTTGTCGCAAAATCCTGAATTAAGTGCAGCATATACTGGTCTATGACGTACATGTTTTCAACAGGAACAGAATCTGTCTCTGGGTTAAACCCAGCCACATTTCCCAAGAGAAAGCGGAGTGTGTTTCTTAGCTAGCCACAGTAAGAGAAAGTACACAGTTAAAGAGGAGTCATGAGATTTTTCAAGTCACCAGTTACTTTATAACCTTTTTTTTTTCTTCCCAAGTTCCATTATTTTCTTTTACTTTTTTTTTTGTTTGTTTGTTTGTTTTTGTTTTTTAAGACAGAGTTTCTCTGTGTAGCACTGGCTATCCTGGTGCTGAGATTAAAGGTGTGGTCACCACCACCTGGCTCAAGTTCTGTTATTAATAAGATTTTTTAAATCCTATTATTCCTAAATAAGATTGCAGAGGCACAACTCAACTCTCATCCTGCCACCCAATTTTATAAAGAAACAACCACTAGATGAGTTTTTCATTAACTCTCTTCAGGACAAACCACCTTTCCCTAGCCTGGTTTGCTTATGTGTTTACTCTCAAATGGTCTATACATTAATCAGATTTAAAGACATGTACCTTTCCTTAGTGTGATTATTCTTAAACAAATTAACTAAAACTGGTCACATGTAGTTTGCTTTCATGTATGCCTCAAACTTTCAACAAGAATGTCTGACCTTGCTGATGTCATCTCTAGCAGCACTGAGTGCAGAGGGGCCAATGGTCACTTCAGTGAAGACGTTGGATTCGGCTATCCACCAGCGCAGGGCATCAGCTCCATAGGGAGGCTCTTTGCTCGGATCCTTTTCGTTGAAAGACAACACATAAGAATCTCCTTCCCCACCCCGCTTCCCATATTAGCAAAGGGGCTCCAACGCTGTTAATAAAGACTGGCTTTCAGTGCAGTGCACTGGTGGCAATCTGAACACTATGGCCTTTCTATAGTACACAGTGATGTGGCTATCTGATAAGCACTTTTGAGATGTTTTCCTTTGTAAGTTTGATCTTCAAGAGGAGTTTGTGAAATAATATATTTAATTAGAGAAACAAAGGCTTCAGATAAGTTCCCCCTCAGAAATTGGAGACTGTAAAAACAGGCTGTTTGAGCATGGAAGCTAAACACAGGCAAAGCCACCACAAAGCAGGCTGTATCTGGAAAGGCGAGTGAGACAGTCCTGTCCAAGACACAGACAGGACAACCCAGGCTCGTCCCATTGCCGAGGATTTCTGGGTCAGGCACACAAGGGCTGCAGGATGGCCCAGTGTGGGGAGTGCAGGGCTGTTTTCCCTTCCTTATCTCCTAGCAACCCAGTGACTACAAGGTGTGAAAGAGACAAGGCAAGACACCATTGACTTCTCTCCCCAGATCTGATGGCCATTCGTACTCCTAAGAATATAGTAATGTGCACTCAGAACTAGCAATTTTTTTCCTCCCATGTTTCCATTTAATTATAAAACTAGTTTTGTGTAATAAACCCGACAGCTTCAGGTCTCTAAACACATGCACACACTCAAGTTTAAGTTTAAGACATTATAGTAAACCATCTGCTATTCTTGGCCCAGATGTTCCCTGAATTCCTGGGCTCCCGGAATCTTCATTTCTCTGCCTCCTGAGTAGCTTGCCACCATCCCTAGCACAGCCTGTGCCTACCAGAGACAGTCTTGTGTTTGTTCACACTGAGGTAACTGTTGAAGACGTGGATTGCTAATCTAAGAGCCTGACGACAAAATGAAAATGAGTGTCAGACACCTACTTTTCCTCCATTGATGAGAGTTTCAGGATTAATGACATTCCCGAGGGACTTGGACATCTTTTCTCCTTTTTCTCCGAGTGTAAATCCATGAACCACCACTGTCCTAAGAAAGATGAGTGGCTTCAGTATGAGGGTTACTTTGTCATTAGATTCATCTTGACAGAGTATAGGTGAGGGTCGTTTCTCAGCACTCATGTATCAGGGCCATCAAGCAGGGCATCCTCCACTTAAACATAGCAAAATAGGTGTTCCATTTTCTGTACATCAGAGCATGTTCCGGCCTCTGCTGAACAAAGAGCAGTGCAGACCACCTCCTTAAAACTAACTTCAACACGACCACTTCAGAGTAACAGTGACACAGACATGGTCAATGGCTAACTGTCTGAGGGTGGGCTATGAGCAAACCCTCAGGCTACCGTGTAACAGTCTTCCTGAATGAACCCTGCTACATGGCACATGGAGGAGCAACGGTCTACACTCACCTTAGCAGGGTTCAGTTCCTTAGTCACTGTGGACCCCACAGCGGGAGCCGAGCTCAGGCTACCCTAAGCAGCCCACACTGTCCTTCCCTGCACTCTTGCTGATCTCTCTACCACTGGAGATGCGGTCCTACAGTTTGCCCAGCTACTCCACTCCAGGCTGTCTTATCTTCTAGGAGGTGCAACCTGCTCCACAGTGACAGACACCTGCCTCCCTGCTGTGTCTCTTCCCTTTTCTTTGCTTCTTGTGTTAATTCTGTTTGCTTTCTGTTGTTCTTTTTCGGGACAGAGTCTGCACACAGCCCAAGCTGACCATCATCTTGATACCCTCTCATCTCCACCTCCAGAGTGGTTGGATTACACCATGTGCCGCCATGACTATACCAGAGGAAACTCTTATAAACTGTACCTAACACAACAGACTCTGTCCTTCAACCTTGCTGCACCTCTTTGGGACAACACTGATTCAAGGACCACCCTATCTATGCCAGAGCCAGGAAGGGCAGTGCTACAGCTTGCCGATGGCTGGCCTGTACATATCTGACTCCAGCCTGTGTGGCACACCCAGCAGGCACTCAGAGGATCGTCAAAGCAGCTTCACTTTGCAGAGTGAGCACTTACCGGAAAGGTGCTTTTGTCCTTGTGGCCGCCCTTGTTAATAAGGAAGACTGGAACCAGCCCCCGAGTTGGTCCTTCCCTTCCAGGTACAAGTCCGCTCTCTGTTCAGTGCCTGAAATATATTAACACCAAAATGAAGTTAATTAGAACAAGAAATAAAGCCAAGTGTGTGTTGGATGGCTGAGGTAACCAAGTGACCGTTTTCTGTGGCTGCCATGCTTTGCCGCAGTCAAGCCCATGTGATCAGACATCCACACTCTGGAGGCTGGCGACAGTTGTGGAAGAGAGCTTGTCTAGTGTGCATGTTCTGCCCAAAGCCCAGCAGGACTATTGCCTTTACTGTCTCTGGTCACCAAAACCATGTCCAGCATTAAGAACAATGATGAGAGTCAGTAGCTTTTCTGGAGAGGACAGCAGTGAATGAGTGTTGTCTGTCACCACTGGTACCACTTTGCACATGGCACACTCGGTCCTGAGACTGAGGAGGCTGTCCCAAATTTGCCAGCAGGGCTGGAGAGATGGCTCAGCCATTCAAGGCTAGGCTTTTTCCTGCTGACCACCACAAGTAGTGCTGCTCGCCTAATCAATCTACAAATGTACAAGAACCAAAACACCTAACCCTGCAATACAGACTCAAATGTGTCCAGGGAAACATAATTAGGAAAAATATCAAAAAGTAATATAAACTAACATCTAGTAAGCCAGCATACATCTTAGTGGATACTCATGAATTTATATAAAGATTTATATAAAGATTTGACTTTCCATTTGCCTATGCAAATGAAGCATTTGCATTCACCTGCTAAGCCCTTACATCACTTACCCATGTGAGTGAGAGGTCCCTACACCACACTCCTTATAGTGAGGCCTTGGATCATACTCCACGTGAATGTGAGGCCCCTACATCACACTCCCCACAGTGAGGCCTCAAATCACACTTACTCCATGTGAATGGTCATTCTTTAACGTCCAGCTGCACAGAGGAGCTACTGTCCCCAACCCCTTGCTCTAGAAAGCAGAAAGTCCCTATGGTCACATCTGGCCCTTGGTGTAGTATGAGGGACTGAGCCCTGCTGTGGAGTAATCTTTCTATACACTGTGAGGACACATTGCTCTCACTGATAATAAAAAGCTGATTGGCCAGCAGCTAGGCAGGATTTTGGGGCAGAAAGAATGCTGGGAAGAAGGGCAGAGTCTCCAGAGTTGTGAGCCAGATGCAGATGAAGCAGCATGGGAAGTTCATTGATGAGGTAAATGAGCCTGGGGCGGCGCACAGATTAACAGAAATGGGTTAATTTAAGAGACAAGCCTCAACTATCGACTGAGCATTTATAATTAATAAGTCTCTGAGTGGTTATTGGGAACTGGCTGGTGGGACAGGAAGCTGCTCAGAGTCTAAGCTCCCTGTGCTGACAAGTTTCCTCTATTCTATGTCTAACTCCTGGGGATCCTCCAGGGTTTTCCTCTAACACATCTGCATACAGCTGCCTCCTGCCCCCTTTGATTCTTGACAATGCTCTCCTTGCTATCTTCATCCAATGAGTCAAACTTACCTAACCTGGAGTATGAGTTGTCTACATAGCTAGATATTTAGGAAGGTACACAGAGGACAGCAGAACAGAACTGGAAGGAGAGGGCCACACATGCATTCTGACACCATTAGCTAGGTGACCTCTTTGTCCTGGCTCTAACTTGATCCCTTGTGAGAAATAATGTAGTCACGTTATGACAATGACTCCCAAACTGGGTGCCTTGGGGTTGCCAAGTAGGCCAGAGAAGAAACTGCTGGTGAAGGGGGTGGAAGGCAGATAAAATAAAACAAAAACAAAAACAACTCTTTTGAGGATTTTTTAGAGCTAGGGTATCCTATGTAGCTCAGGCTGTACTCAAATTCATGATCCTCCTGTCTCTACCTCTCAAGTGCTGGGATTACAGGCACAGACCACCAAGCTGGCTAAGAGTTTCCATTCTAATCTTAACTAATATAGTTCTAAACAAAATTTCACCTTGGGGAAAAAATTATTATGCTGGGAAATCACTGGACTAAAGCTGTCCCGGGCCTCCCAGATCTGAACTGCAGCATACTGTGGTGTCTGGATGAGAAAGACCCCCACAAGCTCATCTGTTTGAATGCTTTGTCACCAGGGAATGGAGCAAGACAGGAAGGATTAGGTGATATAGCCTTGTTGGAGGAATTGTGTCACTGGGGGTGGGCTTTGAGGGTTTAAAGCCCATGTCAGGCATGGATTCTCTCAGCCTATGGATCAGGATCTAACTACAGCTATTGCTGCAGCATCTGCCTGCATGCTGCCAAGCTTCCTGCTATGATCATAATGGACCAAATCTCTGAAACGGTAAGCCAGCCCTAATTAAATGCTTTTTTCCTAAGTTACCTTAGTCATAGTGTTTTATTTTTCACAGCAATATAACACTGACTACAGACTACAACACAAGACTCTCCCAAATAAAGACAAACAATAACCCACACAACTTTTGTGTTCCAAGACCTAAGTAACATTTCTGTACTTTCAAAACTGTGCTATTATTGTTGTTTTGCTCACTGTTGTATTGTCTCACTGTGCATGCACGGTGTTCATGTGACCTCAAAGGACAGCACTCTCCTTCTACCTTTGCACGGGCTCCAGGAACTAAGCTAGGGTAACTGGCCTTGTGCTGCAGACACCTCCAGCAAGAGGGAGGGAGATGCTGGCTGGTCTCTATGAGTTCGAGGCCAGCCTGGTCTGCAAAAGTAGTTCCAGGACAGGCTCCAAAGCTACACAGGAAAACCCTATCTTGAAAACAAACAGAATCTAACTTTAGGAATTCCCTGAAAGACGAGCCAGCTGGATGATGTGGGTAGTCAGTGGTAGTCCTCTGCTTCCCAGAGAACTAGAGCAGAGGACTAGAGTTCATTTCACAGCACCCACATTGGGTGGCTAAGAACTGCCTGAAACTCCAGCTTCAGGGGATTCAGTATGTTCTCACCTCCATGAGCACTTGCACTCACATCACATACCATCTTACAGTCAGACAGACAGACAGACAGACACACAGACACACAGACAGACACACACACACACACACACACACACACACACACACACACACACACACACACACACAAATATAAAGTTAAAATCATAGAAAATTACCTGGAAGAACACAAAACCACGATGTTCCACTGTCAAACCAGATGTCCAAAATATCCTGCCCTGGCACATATTCCAAAGCATCAGGACCACCAGCCTACGGACACAGCAGAAGAGGAAATGCTTCATGGAACCCAAATGATTCCTGAAACCCAGGCAAAGGCAGAAAGAAGGAGAGCAATCTCCAGAGCTGTCCTCTGAGGTCACATGTACGCCGTTTTAAGAAAGTGAAATACAACCATTAAATTCACACTTTTAAAATAAACATTAAAATGCACTTCACAGCTGAATATAACCCCCTGCTGCAGAATGGAAAGTGAATGGCACATGAAGACACTGCTACAGGCACAGTGACAAGCACTTTTTCCCTGTCTCTTAGACAGAGAACATCATAGGGTGAGCTCTATCAGAGCACACACAGCCCTGCTGCATCAACAGGAGGGATTTCTCTTGTGGCACATCTGCTTAGTCATCCAAAGACAGGCAGGACAACCAGGGCCAGGTGAGGTTACATACAAATACCCCAAGTATCACTGCTGTGCTACAAACTACGCTTTGACTGCCAGTAAAACTGTTCACTTCTAAACTGCATCTGCCTCTGCCTCTAATTCTGGAAGGCAAACTCACACGCTTTCCGGCACAGTCACTGAAAATCCTTTTACCTCCAAGAGTCGCTCACATTTTCACCAAGGGCAATTTACCTGAGCTACCACATCCTCCGGGAGAAGCTGCTCAGGGGGGAGGCTCCACCAGACATCGCTGCCATGCTGCTCTACTAGCTTCGTAATATGCTCGATGGTTTGGCTGTTGGGAAAAAGACGTGGGATCAGAAATGTTTCATCATGATGAGTGACAACTGTTTGTCACTTATTGGTCCACTAATTCAGTAGGATCTTAAATCGCTTGCTCAGTACAAATAAAATCATCCTGAGCATATACAATCCTAAACGGGAAGAAAAATGTCTCCTCGCCTCCCTATTTCAGTCCATTTATTTCCTACCCAAGTACCTCTGCCCTCACTTCAGCAAATCAGGCTGGCGCATCAAGTCAGTTTCCACCTGGCTCTCAGTCTAGCCTTACACACTAGTTATGTGACACCAGGTTCTCCCTTGCTCACACAAAACTCCTGCTCAGAAACCTGCAAGGGCCCCTTTACCCATGACTGAGTCCATGCCCCAGCATAAAAGGAAGCCCACAGGGAGACTCCCTTGCTCATATGGCCAAGACTTGAGAGACAACCCAACCGGTTTGGCCAAACACAACTGAGCAGCTCCTGCACCTTAAGATCCCGGGTGCTACAGATGTTACAACAGGTGAGAAAACAGACAGGATTTCCCCTAGTGGAAGGAGACACGCTGTTATGTAATGCTAGGGATCACATTCAGGGCCTCACAAGCTCCAGCTCTGAGCTACAACCTAGCCTGGTTTTTTTGAGACTATCTAGCTATGTAGCTGAGGCAGGCTTGGAGCTCAGCGTCTTCTTGAGCTGGCCACAGCGCCAGCCTTCACTGTGACACTTCCTTCCTGCTGACACCAGGGCCTCTTGCAGTTGCTCTGGTTAGTCACACACAACAGGCAGCAGCATGGATCCCACAGCTCTGGGTACAGTGAAGGGTGACTTAATTACCAATTCACCAAGAAGCACTGGGCTCCCTGACTTCAGTGTTCTCATTTGGAAAATACAAATAACAGCACATCACAGAGACTTGATACTGACCTATAAATGCAATGTCTACAGCAACACTTGTCATTTTAATATGTATTTAATATGCATGTAAGAATTCAGACTGACTCTTTGAGGTAAATTTGAATAGTTAATTTTATGTCAATTATCAAATCATGTCCCTATATTAGTATTTAAGACTTATGATTGTTTATGCATTCGTGTGTTCATTTGTGTAGATGCTCTTAGAAGCCAGCAGGCACTGATACCACATGAGCTGGAGTTAGAGGCAGTGGAAAGTCGCCTGATGTGGACACTGTGATCACACCCTGATCCTATGCAGGAATGCTAAGCGCTCTTAACCACATACTATCTCTTCAGCTTCCATGTCTTTAGGTAAAGATTAAAATACACATAGTACTGTAATTTGAACCATCCTCCTCACCACATTTCATTGACGCAATTGACTACAGATCCACCATAGTTACTGGGAATGGACAGAGTGTGAACAGGGACAGTGACTGGGAATGGACAGAGTGTAAACAGGAAAGCACTGAGTTCCGAATCTGCACCAGCATGTTATTAACTGTGCAGAGCAAAACGCCCAGATTCTCCATCTGCTAATTCACGGGTTAATGCTCTATTTGCCCGAACTGTGAAGGAAGCAAAATCAAGTAGGTAATATAAACTGATACGCTGTTTAACCTGAGCTTTGAGACACCTCACAGAAGATTAATGTGGTAACTGGAGAGATGGCTCAGGGGTTAAGAGCTCTTACTGCTCTCGAAGAGTACCCAGCTCAGTTCCTAACCACAAGGCACTTTACAACCACTGTACTTCCAGTTTTAGGGGATTCAATGCCCTCTTCTGGCCTCTGTGGGCACTGGGTACACATGTGGTACACATATATACATGCAGGCAAAACACACATACATAGAAAACCGATCTTAAAAAGGGCACCCAGCTGTAATTCCAGAACTGAGGAGGCAGAGAGAGGTAGACATCTGTGAGTTCAGGGCTAGATGGGTCTACACAGTGAGATTATCTCAAAAAACAAAAGATAATCAAGGTGGTATTTTATTAAAGACTGAAAGTATAATGTTACCAAAATGTGTAGGAATTTACATATAATATCAATATAAAAACCTAAAATTGGCACAAATCTTGATTGCCAGGATAGACGTTCACTTTAGATGGACTTTAACAGTGCAGATAAGCTTTCTGTATGACACCATAAAAGCCTGATGCAATAAATCACTAGTTATAAGACAATAATAGTTATATATTAGTCTTTTATATAGTTTGCACAGAACACTTTATCAGTTAAGAAAATGTGAACACACAGTAATAGAAAAATCCAAATAAACTTGATGCTCCAAAGAAGAACACAGAGCACTAGCAAAGTACATTCAAATATATACATAATGATAGTGGGTATCCTGTTCATACCAATTACACATGCTTCCCTTTTAAAAAAAGTCAAGAGATGAGTATCACTTGCTCTTTTTCTGTTACCATTAGACTGCCAAGTTTAGGAAAGCAATGAAAACTGTTAAATAAAATAAAACAGAAATGAAAGTAAACTGTTCACATTCATACTAACTTCACAAATCAGGCAGGACCAACACTATCAAGTGAAGGCCATGGGTTCTAGCACGCTCAAGTCCTGTAAATGAGAGTACTTGAGAGCTAACTTTTGTGTCTTGATTTTATAAATCCCGAGTCTAAATAAGGGACTGAACAGTTGGAACCAGACCTTGAAACTATGCTGTTACCACTTCTTTGTCCCACCCCTGTCACACAAGCCTCTAGCTGAACTCACACCCTGTTCTCTGGAGCTGCTCAGCAATGGCACAGGGCTTGGACTGCCCAGGCAGAGGCGGCTGTCAACTGAGGTTGAAGACAGCCTGGAAGGAGTGAGTCTCAGGAGATTAGTGTGCTGACAGAGCAAGCAGAGTCCAAAGACCACGCTCTATCTGCAAGAGTAAAATGTGGTGTTTTCTGAGCTTCAGTCTCTATGAAAAGCTGTAAAAAGATTATGATCTTTTTTATTTAAAAAAAAAGTCTTACAGCTACTTCATAACAAATTCAACTTCAATAAACTGTTTTTCTTTTCTTTAAGTATCAGATAACTCAACAATACTTAAAAATTATAGTTTAAGTGTTTATTTAGCTACACTAAGTACTTTGCTGACTCTATAAACAGACAGATGTTGAATCCGCTATCTGCATCTTATTAAGTCAACCATAAAACCTAAAGTTCCTTTAACTACAGCATTTTCGTGTAAAAATATTGATAATTCTCTTACATATGCAACCATGTTTTAACAGAAGAAATACAATCCTGCTTTATTTAGTTATTGTCCAAAGCACCTGTCTCCTTTTTGTTTTTTGCAGGGTCACCATATAGATCAGGCTGGTGTCACAACCCTGCTGCCTCAGCCGCCCAAATGCTAAGCACTCATGCATTTTACACACAGTTCACCTGAAGATCAGGAGACCCTATTTTAGACATCAAGGTCTGGTGTCCAGTGAGAGAGTGTGTGCTTAGTGTTATTATTCGTTTTTTGTACTATTTTTACAAATGGCACAACTGCAAATGTAATCTTCATCAATGAAAAACAATGTGCAGTATTCTCTTTAAAAAAAATCTAGCTTCAAGCATGGCCCAGTGGTATGTACCTATCACCTCAGCAACTCAAGCGGATGTAGCAGCAGAATCGAGTTCAAGGTGAACATGAGCTCCAGACACTGACCAGGCAGCAACTACACATCTACACAGTCAAGGTAGATGTGTAGGTCAATGGGAGAACACTGGCCTCACATGAGCACGGTCTGGACCACAAATACACACATGCATACATACACATATACATACATACACACCGACACACTTCTTCCCAAAAAATTGCCGAGTTAATCTGTATAATACCAAGAAAACAGCCCAGTTTTGCTCTTTATCCCAGGTTCTAAGAAACATGAAACAAAGAAACAAAACTGTTTTCAATGTGTTATACTGGCTGAGAAGGCGGGCTTCCCTGAGGTGTGCTCCCCCTATCCCAAGGGGCTATGCTCCCCGCAGAGGGATTGTGCCCCCCTCCCAGGGACTGTGCTCCCTCACCAGAGAGGCTGTACTCCCAGCTTCACACCACGTGCTGAAGAGCATTCACTATGCCTTGCTAAGCCTCCTGCTATAAGTTCAGGACTGTCTTGAGATTCTGAACAAACAAATGACTTCTATTTTTTAAAACAAAACAAAATCAACACCAGAATAAGTGAATATAGGAAACCAAACAAGTATATAATACAACACACCTATGTTTTCTGACAGGCCATGCTGTATATATACCAAATGTATATAATTTTGTCATTTAAAAAAGTTAATTAACTGAACTTTAAAACAAATGTAACTTTTAAAAGCAGATTAACAAACGCCTTCCCATCTAAACACATCGAAGTTCAAGCACACAGCACTGCTGTCACCAACAGGTTTCTCGTGCCATCCGCACCTTGCATGCACCAGCAACTCAACACCCAGGAGACAGACTGGGACTGCAGGGGCCGCTGGGCTTGTGCAGGGCTGAGCCACACAGTCCATGTGTCAGGAAACCAGGGGTGGGAATGCAGCCCAGTGGTAGATAATTTACCTCCCACCGAAAGAACAAAGCAAAAAAACCCTTCCTAGATGCTGGACGGGTCTGGTCACTAGGTTTTCATTAAGTGGGACCTAGGCAACCATGAAGAGCAAAGCTACCACCCTAAAAGTCTTTGTGATCACTCCTCCATAAGTGCTCTTCATCTGTGTGCATATATGTGATGCTGGGATTTGAACTTATGGCCTCAGGAGTGCTAGGCTTTACCACTGAGCTACACCCCTAATCCTGTCCTCTTTTGTAGGTTATTACATTCCTTGATAAACAGCTAAACTGGACATTTTACAAACAAATCTTTGTACAGAATTCATTAGTCTTATTTCTTTATGACAAATACTTAGAAGTGGATTTTTTTTACAATGAATAATGAGATCATGATGATTTATAATGAGATCATGATTTCAGATATTTTAAAAGAATTTCTTAAGAATTCCCCTGTGATATTATTATGTCCTTTGGAGTGGGATTTAAACTTTTCCTTGCAAACTCAAGAATTCTCTTTATTTTATTAACAGTGTCCAATATTTGAACACATAGTTGACTTATGACCTAAAGATCAGTATAAATTAGTGTTGATAAAAGTGGGTGAAACCACTTATCGCTATGTAATCTGTTTCCATTTTAATGCTGTATTTCACAGAGCAATAAGCCAGACCACAATAAAACTTTGTACTTGACTCGAAGACCTTATCTGACACATTACGTGTTCCTGCTTCAGTTTCCATCAGGGAAAACCCTGGAAGTGTGAGCAGCCAATCACTGGGCTCTGCTCTCAGTGGCATGGGTTGTATTTAGCTGGGGAACAGGCAGCACGGAGGGGCTTACAGGTAAGAGGAGACACTGCTGCCATCTCATTCTGTCTTCTCTTCATCAGCAAAAGGACAAGACAAGATCCCTGCTGGAAGTTCATGGAAGAGTGAGGTAAGAGATTAAGTGTTCCTGTCTGTTTACTAAATGTGACTAAAACACGATGGAGCTTCAGAGAGAAGAGCCTGTTTCCTATTCAGTCCTATATTGAGCTGGAACGGCAGCAGGAAGTGATTTAGAATGCTTTCTTTACTTAACTAAAGTCTACAGCTTTCCACACGTTGGCTCCAAGTTGCCTAAGTCAACAGTGTTGGGTGACAACACACACCTGAAATAAGAAACTCCATAAACCGTTTCTTGTCTTCTCTAGGTGGCCAATGTTTCTAAATTCTATCCTTTATCCCTTTTAGATTAAAAACACTTTTTACTAACCAGGGAATAGATTTCCACCTAAATAATACAGGGATTATAGTACAGATTCAGAAAAAGACCAATGATATTAATGCCAAAAGTAGAACTAGTCTTGAGAAAAAGAAGCAAGCATAAACTATAAATGAATTAACATGTCAGAGGTCAAATCCAGTCTTTAAACTTACTTAGAACATGAATAAACCAAGGTTTTCTTTTGCAAAACAATAATGTTTAGAGGTAATGTGAAGACTTTTGTCAAAGAAGCAGGGGAGCCAGGCATGGTACTGCTCACCCTAAGTCCCAGCTCTCAGAAAGCTGAGGCAGGACTGCAAGGTACAGGCTAGATCAAACTGCCACCACTCCCATCACCTACACACACACCAGGAGGTGGCAGAGGGCTGAGGGTGTAGCTCTATATTGTAGAGTGCTTGCCTGGCATGTACCAAACTCCAGTTTCAGTCCCCAGAACCATACACACTAACTACATGTTTTAGAACAAAAGGAATCCTCCAACAAATGTCATGGAGTCATCGCATGTAACAGCAACTCCATGTGGACTGTGGACTGACTTCCAGTGGAGATGCTGTTACTTTTGACGGCCACCAACCTGCTACAGATGTTGGGAAGGAAGGACAGAAATTTCTGGATTCTTGATCTCATTTGATTAAAAAAAAAAAACTGATAACCTTCATTAAGTTTTCTAACAAATAATTAAGAATATAAATGTCTTAAAATTCAAGTGCTTTGTCACCAGAAGGACCCAACCATGGAAGACATTGAAAGTTCTCATCGTGAACTGGTGTACAGGAAAATGACCTATGAATTGACAGACTGTATGGCTGAGTATGTCTGTCATTCTGTAGGCCAATATTCTGTATGTCTCTGCTACATAAAAACCAGAAATCATCTGACACCCTTCAAGCAGTTCTATAGATCATTGTTGACAAAATAAAATGGACATGAAACCAGTGTGGATGTGTCTCTGTGTCTGACAAAGCTCACATCTATTTCATTTAACTCGCTGATGGCTCAATCTAGCTACATTTTTACTTTTAAAATAACAGTCAGTTCCACCAGTTTGCTGAAGTCTGAGATACAGCTCAGTGGTACAGGGTATGTATAACATCTGAGAGGGCTAGATTCAATCAGTCCCCCCTCATCCAAACAAAAACAAACTTGTTCTACCTTTTAATTTTAATAATATATATTCATCCCACCTCAGTCACTTCAAGGCAATGCCCTAAAAGTCTTGCATTCTAACAATTGAGGACTGAGAGACAACACTGGTTTTAAGTTACTTGTACAAATTTATCTCAAGTGTAATCACTTTCCTTCTCCACAGATACACATAAACAGTAGTGGAAAATAACTGACCAGACTTTAAATTCTATAAGAATCACATAGCAATGATACTCTAGCAGAGTCAAGGTAATGTGAACCTTTAACAGTGATCAAACAGTCTTACAATCCAGCCTCTAGTTGCTTATCCTGAAATACTTCTGTTGTCCACTTAGGAGTTTAAAATCCTTAGTATGTTATTTAAGATTCCTTCCAGTCTGTCCCAGCCAGTCCTTAATGAAGTGTTTGCCCTCCCACACCCCCTGAAGCCAGTGTGGTTCCCATGTATGTGTCTTATGTACTGCCCATCTCAACTCCTGCAGAACACTCTTCCTCACGTTCAGCAGAAATGCTACCTCCTCTGTGAGGGAAGCCATTGAGCAAACTGTCCTGCATCTGTCCAAGGCAGATGCTCTTGTTCTCTTTGAACCAAGTTCCACAGGGCATGAGAACAAAGTCAAAAAGTGCATGCAGACGAAAGACACTAAAAGCTTCCCTATCATAAAAAGTAAAAATCAAATTGTCAGGGCTTAGCGTACCTCAGCTGTAGCATGTGCAGGGCCTTGATACAATTCCCAGCACAAAAGTATTTAAAACAGCAACAAGCCTATCCCTTACATGATCACAAATGACTTTTTAAAAAGCAATTTAAGCCGAACTCCTAGAATGGAGTCATAAAGAGGGAGGAGTGATGAGCAAAGGGGTCAAGACCATGCTGGGGAAACCCACAGAAACAGCTGACCTGAGCAAGAGGGAGCTCACGGACCTCAGTCTGACAGCTAGGGAACCAGCATAGGACCAAACCAGGCTCCCTGGGTGGGTGCCAGCTTGGGGGGGGGGGGGTTTGGGCAGTGGAACCAGTATTTATCCCAGTGCACAAATGGGCTTTGGGAGTCCATTCCCTATGTAGGGATGTTGTCAGCCTAGGTACACGGAGGAGGGCCAAGGTCCTGCCCCAAATGAGTGACAGACTTTGATGATCCTCCATAGGAGACCTCACTCTCCCTGGGGAGTGGGTGGGTGGGTGGGATAGGGAGAGGATGGGGGAATGGGAGAATGGGAAGGAGAGGAAACTGGGATTGGGATTGGTATGTAAAATAAGATTGTTTTTAATTTAAATAAAAATTAATTTTAAAAAAGCAACTTAAATCAACATAGTTTAAAACGTCTACAATACATGCATTTAGTAAGGTACTGTTAAGGACATACAATCATAATAACCACAAAAACAGACCATCTACAATGCCAAGGAGTCCCAAGCAAGGGCTGCCCAGCCTATGCTTACAGCCTCTGTCCCTCAAACTCCCCACTAGATCCTCAACTAATGAAACAAACACAGGCAATGTCACCGATGCTATAGCATAATTTAGTAAAGTCTCATTAACCAAATTAAAATTAAGCCAAAGCATTCTAAGAAAATGAAAACCTAGAGAGATTCCTAATAGAAATGGTTAATATTACCCTTTCCACCTCTGTTAAAACAGCAACAAGTAGCTGGGTGTGGAGACTCAGACTTAACTCCAGCACACATACACACTCTCTCTTACACACTCACTCACTCTCACACACACACACACATACACAGGGGTGGGGGTGGGGTATGGAGGAGAGAAAGAGCAAAACAGCAACTTGCTGACAGCTAGAACAGCATAGAAACTACCTCATCAGTTCATTGAAACAGAGAGAACATCGCCTGCTGACTGCCTAGTTCCGTTTCTTCTCGATCTCCTTTCGGTAGACTTCCTACTCTTGGCCTTAATTTATAATCCTGTCCCAGGCCCCAGTCGTCCTGACTACTGAATCCCTCTGTTCAGCAACAATATGACCATTCCAGGGGAGGAGAAACATGCCTACAATTCCAGCACCAGGGAAGGGGAGGCAGGACAACTACTATAAGCTTGAGACTGTACCAGATCAGCCAGTGCTACATGATGAGACAGAAAGAGATAAGCTATTTAGAAGGCAGAGGAAGCACAATTACTTGTAGCCATGCATTTGAAGTCAGTCTGGACTTCATAGTCAGAGGCCATCTCAGAACCAGAGTGAATGAACACTAACAAGGAATTCTTAATGGCATACACTATTTGTCCAAGAAAATGTAAACAATAAACAACAGAAAAGAATTACCTGTTGATCAAATATTCATCTTTTGTCTTATGATGAAACACAGGGATTGGGACACCCCAAGCTCTTTGCCTTGATATACACCAGTATGGCCGCCTGTCCAGCATGTCAATCATGCTATTCAGCGCCGCTCCAGGAATAAACTTCACTGTTTTTAACAATTCCTGCAATTCATTCATCATCAGGTCAAGTGGCAGCAGAACCAATTTTTAAAAACTGTCCTGACTTTTCCTAATACAGTTCTTCATTCTGAATGTGTGCAGCCGTTCACATCCCTCCCACTCCCACCGCAAGCAAATAACAAAAAAGCAAAGACTTCAAAGTGTGGTAACAGACACAGATTTCACCACTGTCAAGAGCAGACAGCTGGACATATGGACTAACATATGGACTAGAACCCCTGCACTTAGGAGGCTAAGACAGGAGGCCTGCCACAATTTTGAGGCTAGCCTGGCCTACATAGTGTGTGAATGACTGGCAGCATACAAATAAGCAAACAACAACAACAACAACAAAGACATCACTTATGGAAATAAAAGATAAAACAAAAATCAACACTACATGTCACATGCCCACTTTATACAAGTGTAAAAGGACAAGGACTCTAATCATCAAGCCAACAAATGGACTGGCTAGTGACACCAGTACTTCAGCTGCAAGCTGCTAAGGGAAATTATCTGTGTATTCAGCCTGGTTACTGAATGTACACTTGAACTTTTCATTCAAGAGAACCAGCTGCTTTCATAATATGCATCAATGCATGTAAAAACATACATGGCCATGTGTATTAAATAAAAGAGCTTAAAACCTGCAACACCAATTATAAAATTAGTTAATTCATAGCAACATTAAAAAATATTGTGTGTGTTTGTGTGCATGGGCATTTGTGCATGTGCATGCAATGCCTGCAGAGCCCAGATGAGGGTTTGGGAACCTGAGCTAGAGTTATAGGCAGGCGTGAGAAGCCTGGAGTGGGGGCTGGGCACCAAACCCAGGCTCTCTGCAAGAGTAGCAAGTGATCTAACTCACTGTGTCATCTCTAGCCCCACACCAAATTTTTAAATTAATCAGAATTTTGTTTTGCTTCCTTCTTAACAGCCTTAATTTTAAGGCAACAGAGGACACAAAAATTTCAATAAATGTATACCATGTGGGAGAGTGGCAGACATGGCTATGGACACTGACTTGCTCGCTTCGGCAGGCATTAGTGACAGAACTGAGGTGTTAGGAGGTTACACAACTGCTAACCAAGTTCTGCCTTCAGCCTATGCAACTTTTAAGACACTGGACAGAATGACCAGATGAGTCACTTAAAACCTTTAAACATTACTTTTACACATGTAGTAATGAAGGAATCAAGTATAGGATCTTTTAATGTCTAAAAGTACACAAATTCACAAATTTAGGGGGAAAAAAAACAAATTTAGGAAAATAATTCATAATAAATAAATCTCTTATGAAATCCCCCATGCCAACCTCCCACAACACACACACACCATTTTACTAAGGGAATGGCCAGCCCAACCCTCAGAGCAGGAGGCCTTTCCTACCTTAGCTGTAGCCTTGATATCTGTGATGTTGATAAACCATTGCTTGCTGGCCCGAATCACCACAGGTTTCTTAGTTCTCCAGTCAGAGGGATAGCTGTGCACCACTTTCTCTTCTTTCAACAAATGCTTTGCAGTCCGGAGCATCTTTATAACTTAAAACAATTTCCATCAGACAAAGCTTACAAGTATTGCGCTTGAGGCCTCTGGGTACAGGTGCCAACCAAAGTGGAAGGGGCAGAGACACCAGCACCACACACTTGAGTCAGACAGCCATGAACACAGAAGGACAATTCAAGACTGAAGGCCTCCACCTGATCAGCTGATGGGAGATATCATTCTGTAAATATGTTTCTCATACTGGTTAATGAATAAAACACTGTTGGCCAATAGGAAAGCAAGATAGGTGGGACTAGGAGACAAGGAGGAAAGAGGAAGTAGTAAGGAGGAGTCAACATGGAGAGTCTGGAGAGAGCAGGACGCCAGCCGGCTCTCCAGTAAGAGGAGACCACGTGGAAATACATAGATTAACAGAAATGGGTTAATACTAAAGACAGAAACTAGTATCTGGCCAACAGAATTATATCACATACAGAGTCTCAGTGTGTTAATTGGGGCTGGCGCGGCAGCAGGACCAGACCAGCGGTGGGAGGAAAAACCCTACTCCTTACAATCAGCTATTTGCAGAACTTACTGAAAGAGCAGGGAATGTCTGATTCACAGGCAGCATCTACTCAAGCTTGATTTCTACCCTTCACAAAAGCAGTATGCTGACATCTCTGTAACATCCCCCACCAAAAACTGTTACTTAGTGACTGTCTATATTTGCATAGACAATTAGAACAGATCTGAAACAAAACACAGTAGGCCCTAAGCTGCACTGTGAACCATGTGGCTAACCAAATGAGGTTCCATCTGGCTAGAAGTGTGGGGTCTGACTGAACAGGTGAGGGGTCCTGCTGTTAGTACATTCCAGAAACATACTGGGCGATCAACAGATGACACCTACCCACATCTGTTCCCTCTTCAAGTACAGCCTTTTTCTCAAGTTCAGGGCCTGCAGCATCAGTGAACAGCCCATCTTCATCCACTAAACAGTCCTACAATGGACCATTTTGAACAGTTAAAGCATCAAGACACTTTACCTTATAGCAATCTATGTTAAAACAACATATTTAAAGTATCCCATTACAGAGTCTACCTGTTCTCTACTAAAATCTGGGTTTTTCTTCCTTAGTCAATAGAGATTCCTGAATTTTACATATTTAAACCACCAAAGACAAAATGTATCACTAAAGCACATACCTAAAATTTAATATTGGAAAGTACAAGTATTCTAAAACACTTTTAACCCATCTCTTCATGTACAGATCACTGGCCAAGTATACTGCTCTTTGCCTGCGCCCTCCTTAACCAAATGAAAAAAGTTGCTAAGTAAAGTGTGTAAATAAGCTTAGGAGTTTGGGAAGGACAAAGTCCAACCATCCTTCTAATTGCTTAATGACATCTACTTGCCATTGTTTGGGGTGTGAAAGCAATGTACCTAAGTGACTCAAACCTGGCCCAAGTACCCTCGTTTGTTTCAAGACCACTGTAGAAAACATGTGAATGTCAAGAAAGCAATGGGCAAGCAGAGCCAACTGCATCAACTATATTAACAATTCAGCCTCCTAGTACAAATAAAAATTGGGCCTAGGCCTCACTATAGGCTACTAAGGTACATAAGCAGTGTGTTTTGGAAAATGTACCTACCTCAATTACAAAACCCTTTTTTTGCTAAAACTGTTAAGGGTCATCTGAGCTTAGAAAAATGGTGCTGGCCCATCTGGCAGCTCACAATCATCTATAACTTCAGCTCCAAGGAATCCAATGCCCTCTTCTGGCATCCAAGGGTACCAGGCACACACATGGTACACAGACACACATGCAGGCAAAAAAAAAAAAAAAAAAAAAAAAAATCTATTTCACACATGTAAAATAAGTAAGAATTGTGCTGAGCTTGCTCAACACAAGTTTGGCCAAACTTTTAATAGTAAAAAATGCACATCTCCAAAGTGCAATAAAATGGCACACAATTAAACATGGCCTGTGTGTCTTTTTAACGTACCTTCATGTAATACTGTATATTCTTCAAGTCTAATTGTTCGGATTTTGTGCTAATTCTGAGAACTTTCTTAATTAATGTGGATTAATAATGCTTTAGGATGTTGCCTAAATGTAATTAATCATTTCACAATTTAATTACAATGACAAGAATTATTACCAAGCAACAAAGATGTTAGTTAGGAGTAATCATTTTCTTTCTGCAAGGCAAATAGTTAAAAAGAAAAAAGAGGAACAGTACCATAGGGAGGTTGTGCTGAGATGCTACGCTGTAATCTTCCATACCGTGAGCTGGGGCTGTGTGAACCAATCCTGTTCCTTTGGCCATGGTCACATGAGCGGCAGGTAAGAGAGGAGATGCTTTATCAGGAATTAATGGGTGACTACAAGTGCCACCTTCTAGATCCACACCTGCAGGTCACGAAAAAAAAAAAAAACACTAAGCAATGTTTTACATGAAGGACTAGGCTACAGCCGAGTGGTAGAGCGTTCTTTCTGTGTATGATGTTCAGAGATCAACCCTCATCAAATATTTTATGTGAGAGAGACCGGATCTCAGACTCTTCATACAGCTGGGGATGATCTTAAGTAGTTGGTCCTCTTGCTTCCACCAATCAACTGCTAGGACAATAAGTGTGCACTGCTACACTCAGCTAGCATCTTTACCTCCTTGTTCAGGCAATGGGATCCGAGGCCTAGCACATGTGAGGCAAGTGCTCTGCCCCTGAGCTACTTAGATCTCCAACAGGATGAAACAAAGAGTACAAGAGTAGCTGCACTCAGAACTGGCCTCCCTCTGCCTTATGATGTCCAGGAAGCTCTAGAACGCAGACAAGTACAGCCCCTGTTGAGAGCACCACTGTCAGGATAAGCAGTTAAACATAATACCTGCCTCACAATAAACAGTTCAAAATACTACCAGCTTATCTGCTGGTGCCTATTACAGCAAATACATAACCAACCAAGCCCACAAAAACCTAACGAGGCCCTGTCTCAGAATGAACATAAAAAGGAGCTGGGTGTAAGCAGTGGTGACGAGCTCACTGAGCAAGCCCTCAAGAAAAGGGTACAAACTGGGTTCTCTAGCTTACCTACTGCACCATTGAGGACCAGTGATCTTAAAACCCCAGTTTTTTTTATTCTGATCAGATTGTGTTTACCCTTCTAATCATCTTACACCTAAAAGAACATAAGAGAGTTTTCTTCTTTAGTTTTTTTTTTAATTATATTAACTATAAGATTGCTTTTGAAGCTGGGCCGTGGTGGCCCATGCCTTTAATCCTAGCATTCACAAGGCAGAGGCAATTGGATCTCTGTGAGTTCAAGGCCAGCCTGATCTACTGAGCAAGTTCTAGGACAGCCTCCAAAACTATAGAGAAACCCTGTTTTGGAAAACCAAAAAAAAAAAAGAAAAAAAAGATTGCTTTTTAAGAAGAAACTCAAAAGATATTATGATCTCTAAGGATGGCAATTATTTTTAAATATCTTCAGACTCCCACAGCTATATAAAGTTAGTCATGGTTGAAGTCCCAAATTATTAGTCATAAAAGATTCTCCTGACAGAAGTATTTCCTTTGACAACAGGCATGATGACCCACACCTTCAATCCCAACACTTGAGAGGCAGAGGCAGGAGAGATCTCTGTGAGTTAGTTTGAGGCCAGTCTGGTCTTCAGTGTGAAATTCTGTCTCAAATAAACAAACAAACTACATAGACTTCTTTCTTTCTTCCTTTAGAAACATAGATATCATGTCTGTTTCAATTCACAAAGGGGAATATCCAAGAAACTATTAAATGCCAATCGACCTAAAATTTTAATAACTGATAGTTAGACAGCATCTATAAATTATCACCTGAAAATGTTGAAATAACTTCAAATGTTGTTTCCAAGGCAGAAGCAACAGGTGGTATTTTATCTTCAGCCAGTACATAGATGTCCCCAGAAGAGGAACATTTCACAACAGCATACCTGAAGGTGAATGAAGTTCAGAGTAAGTCATCCATGATGAAAAAGGACATCCACAGTTAAATGACATCACTTTAGAAAAATGAACTTCAGGATCAAAGAGTAGTTTAGGAAGCACTCCAGACTTCACATTTATTTCTGTCCCAAAAGAGCTGACAGGTCTTCAAACGGATCTTCTTCTAGTGTGTAGTAACAGCCACATAAACTTAAATAAGTGATAGTTCACTAGCTTTTATAAGGATCACGAGAGTGAAATAAATTTAACATGAATCCTATTTGTGGATAAAGTAAGATATAACCAACTACCTACTTTGCTTCTGGCATATAGCAAACAGCCTGATTGGCAGGAATCGTCCAAGGCTGGGTGGTCCAGATTAAAAAGCTAACAGGGGATGAGCCATCTGTGAGAGTAAAAGTTGTAAATATGTTAGCAACCATAATAATTCCATAACATGAACAAACTCAAGCTCTGGCTAAACCTACCTGTAAGAGATGCCAGCTTAGGAGGAGGTTTCAAGATAGGGAATCTTACATATATCGACCGACTGACGTGCTCAGGATCGTACTCCAGTTCTGCTTCGGCCAGCGCGGTCCTAAAATATTAAAGTGTCATACATAAACGAGGAGCTTCACAAATGATTGCAACCTTCTAATTAGCAGAGAATACATACATACCTTGATGAGGGAGACCAAAATACTGGTTTGTAAGATCGATAAACCAAGCCCTATAAAAGACAAAGATGGAATATTTGTGCTGATTGGTTTTTGTCAACTTGACATAAATCTGGAAAGAGAGAGTATTAATTGAGAAAATGCCTCCTTCAAATTGGCCTGTAGGCAGGTCTAAAAGGCATTTTCTTGATTAACAGTGGACATAGAAGGGTCCAGTCCACTGTGGGCAGTACCACTCCAGGGCAGGTTATATAAGAAAAAAGCTGAGCAAGCCCCAGGGAACCAGACAGAAGGCAGCATCCTCCATGGCCTCTGCTTCAGTTCCTGCCACAGGTCCCTGCCTTGGTTTCCCTCAATGGACTGCTATGGAGACGTGAGAGCCAAATAAACCCTTTCCTCCCAAGTTTGCCTTTGATCATGGTGTTTCATCACAGCAACAGAAAACTGACTAGTACAATCCTGAGTCTGAAATCTTTGTGACATGTACTTTAACACACTGGGAAGGGAAATCACTTCATTACCTTAGCATACATTTGGTAGAACAGCTTCAGCTGTTTGGCTTCATACTTTCCATCAAATGTATAGTAACAGTTATTCCAATCAGCCATCACTCCCCAACGAGCAAATGCAGATTTCTGCTTTTCAATGGCTGCTTTAGCAAATGATCTAGCTAGAAAAAACAAGAGAGGAAAAAGGAAAAGCCTTTGAGAATCCCAGCCTGGCCTGAACTCACTATATAGCTAAGAGTAACCCCAAACTCACATCAATCCCCCTGCCTCAGACTACCAAGTGACAGGATTATGAGCATAAGCCACCAGACCAATTTTTTATAATCTTTTTGTTTTGTTTCATTTTGTTTTTGTTTTTCAAGGAAGGGTTTCTTTGTGTTACATCTCTGGCTGTCATGGAATTCACTTTGTAGATTAGGTTGCCTTTGAACTCACAGAGATCCACCTGTCTCTGCCTCCCAAGTGCTGGGATTAAAGACATGAACCAGATGACTTTTTATATTCTTAAACATGCCTTGTTACATGCTTCTCTAGGTGAAGGTGTTATACATAGTTAGATAGAAAAATCTTATTTACCCCAGCTAGCCTCTGACTCGCTTTGTAGCAGTTTTTGATCCTATAAAACCAGGAGCACAGGAATATAATATCACTCACAGTGCTGGGCATGGAACACAGGCCTCATGCACACCAGACAAGAACTCTTCCTACTGAGCTGCATACCCAGACCTATGAAAAATTCATTGTTTTTTGTTTGTTTGTTTGTTTGTTTGTTTTGAGACAGGGTTTTTCTGTGTTAACAGCCCTAGCTGTCCTGGAACTAGCTCTGTGCCCCAGACTGACTTCAAACTCAGAGATCCACCTGCCTCTACCTCCCAAGTGCTGGGATTAAAGGCATGTACTACCACTGCCCAGCTCATTAAAAATTCTTAACAGGAAGAATTTTTTTGAAATTATTCAAAGCATAGAACATGTTTTTTTGTTTTAATTAACTAGAATTTTGCTGGGCAGTGGTAGCTCATGCCTTTAATTCCAGAACTCCGGAGGCAGAGGCAGGCAGATCTTTGTGAGTTCAAGTCAGCCTGGCCTACAAAGTGAATTCTGGGATAGCTAGGGCTGTAGCAAGAGAAACCCTCTCCTGAAAAATAAATAAATAAATAAATAAATAAATAAATAAATAAATAAATAAATACCTGGAAAGTATTCTACATCATTCCTTATAAAATATACTGATGACAGTAGTACTGTACTTTGTGTGTGTGTGTGTGTGTGTGTGTGTGTGTGTGAGAGAGAGAGAGAGAGAGAGAGAGAGAGAGAGAGAGAGAGAGAGAGAGAGAGAGCGCGCATGTGCATAGGTCACTTCCTGGCTGTGTTTTCATCATGGAATCAGGGAATCGTCTGAGGGATCAGTCATGAAAGTGCTTTTCCTGCTGAGCCGCCTCACTAGACCCCCCTCATTTTTCCTTAATTTAAGAAATGGCCAGAGAATAATACTCATTCATAACCAACTCCCAAAATCATTCAGAACATCAAATCTAAGGCAATGTGAAGGTGTTTCAGAAGGAAGTGAAGAACATCCATATGTTCGATATTTTATATATCTGATGCAACAATATGATGAACAAGGAAGAGACCCTCTCTGGCCACACCCACTATAAGGAAGAATCAAACAGGAACTAATTTAAATTTACAGGGTCTTGGTAGCTGTTTGGAGTGTTTGTTTTGTTTTCAAGACCAAGGTAACCCAGGTTGACTTCAAATTCATGATCCTCCTGCCTCAGACTCTTGAATGCTTGCTGAGTTTATAGACTTGCACTACCACACTGAAATTTAAAATACATGTATTTTGGAACTGACTTTTAGTTTTGTACCTGATTTTAGTCAGCAAGCTCCACCCAACAAGGTTAGAAACAGCAACTCATTAATGATAAAATACAACACTAAACTGAAAACACATTTGCAAACACACCCCAAACTGTTCCTCCAATCTCTAAAGAGAAATTCTTACAAGGCAGCTAAAAAAAAAAAAAAAAAAAAATCTAGGGTTCAATGAAGACTCATGCCAATGATGTCAGCATTCAGGAGGTTAAGGAAGGAGGGATGGAAATAAGAGAGTGAGACCAACCTGGGTAAACATAGAGATCTTTGTCTCTAAACAAAAACAAATTCTGAGTTCTCTCTGATGTAAAATAATGCATATCCAACAGGTCTCACTGCAACTAAAGCAAAGCAAGGTCTCTTTGGCAGATGCTGTGGGATAATCTTTCTGTACACTGTGAAGATGTGTCTTTGCCAAGGAGCCTTCTGATTGGTCTAATAAAGAGCTGAATGGCCAATACCTAGCTAGGCAGGAGAGGCTAGCCAGGACTTCCAGGGAGAGAGAGGAATTTAGGGTTAGAATCTAGGTGCACAGAAGATGCCAGCAAGACATAGACGGAGTCAGACTCACAAAATGGAGGAGGGGTAAAGAGCCACAAGGCAGAATGTAGATTAATAGAAACAGGTTAATTAAGCTGTAAGAACTAGTTGGAAATAAACTTAAGCTAAGAGTCAAGGTTTCATAATAATAAACCTCCATGTCATTGTTTGGTGGCTAGAGGTCTAAAGTCTGACAAGAAAGACCAGCCACAGGCAGAGCCCTGGTTTCATAAAGAGGCTGAGTGCTTACAGTATCACTATAAGATGAAAATGTAGCTTACCTTTCTCTCTGATTTCCATGGCTGAAAGAGTCTGAGCATTTACACCAAGCTCCGATAACACTTTTGTCTCAATGGGCAACCCGTGACAATCCCAGCCAGGCACAAAATGCACTTTGGAGCCTCTCATCATATGGTATCGATTGGCAATGTCTTTCAAAATCTACAGGGATGAAAGCACAATCACCATCCAGAAAACACAAGGCTCATAATTTGATTTTTTAAAAATACCATTTTAAAGCATAAAGTCCAAGTTAAAGAATTTCTATAAAATAACCAATTAAATCTACTAATAAATGTTTAATATTTATACAGAAATAACAAATATTTGAATTTTACAATATTAATGCTATCAAAGGGGTAAAAATCAAACGACAGAAAGAATTATACATGAAAACCATTATGCCCCAAATTTCATTCTTTGTCAAGTTGGGGGAAGAGTGTAGGCCCATTCTACCTTTTAAAGAAATACTTTTGAACTTCTACCCTCCAGAATGCAAATAAGTCAGTAACTAAGACAGCTCCTTTCATTTTCTTATCTCAGTATTCTTACTCTGAGCCAAAAAATTGTTTCAGGTAGAAGAGACAGAGGTAAAGAGGGAAGACAAGACTCATTTTCCAGCAGAAAATTAAAATATATCATTATATACACTTACTAGGAAGTAAAAATCATGTTAAAGGGCTAGAAAATTATTTTTGGGGTTGGAGTAGTTATTACTTTAGAAGGAAGGTAGGTGAGGCTTCACAACAGAGAATGTGAGTCATTTTTGTCATCTGTCACCAGACAGGAGAAAATAGGTGAGACCACACTTGCCTGAGGAGGAACAAGACCAAATCCCCAGATTTCCCATGCCTTGTGACAGGGTTCCAGGCAGGCAGAGGAGGTAGTTTTGCATTTTTTGAATCAATCCTGTATGTTTGATGCATGTGGTACTGACTTGTCTTCCCAGCTCCATGGAAGGGGAGAATTAACCTCCCTCAAGCTGTACACAGTCATGTGTGCCCCCCCCATGCAAATAAGTCAATATATTTTAAAATACAAGTAGGTATAATTTTAAATACAATGAGCTTATCAATTTTGTGGACATACTGGGTTAGTGGTGCACATATGTAATGGCGGTATTCTGAAACGGGGAAGGATCGTGAGTCTGAGGCCAGCTCAGGCTATTAAAGAGATTCTGTCTCAAAAAAAAAAAAAAGTAGAACATTGTTGCAGAATATTATTTTAAGCTGTGTTACTTTTGTTTACCCTCTGGAATATTTGTTTAATAATGCAAATATGTGTTTGATTAAATAAAATTCACCTGTGGTCAGGAGGGCTGGGTCAGCAACTAGCTGACAGGAAGTTGCAGGGAGAAGCCAGGTGGAAAAGGTTTATAAGGAGGGGTGAAAATGAGCACAAGGAGTTCCTGGCAAATGCGAAGAGCCGAGCTGCTTGCTATTCAGCCTCTTTGGGAAGCATGGTTCTACCTCAAACTTTGAATCTTGAGTTCTTTATCGGGATGAATACTATATAGGTTTCCTTAGTAGCTTGAAAGAGTTGGTGCCTGAGGGAGCAGAATTCCCTCAGGCTTTAGCTCTTGCAACCTAGACGCTGTTGGTAGCTGCAGAGTGGCAACTGCTGAATAGGATAACTGTAGCGCTTAAACGGCAGCAATAATTAAAAAGGCAAAACAACAGAACACAGGTAAAACAGTGTCCTATAAAAGATACCGCTCTAATACAGTGCATTTGTCACAAAGGAGATCTAATCACTAATAGAAAACACTTGGGAGTGCAGCTGGGAGGGCTAGTGCTTCATATAAGTGGCACCCTGGCCTTGACCTCCAGAGAACAAAATACAAAGTCAAACGGAAGTCTCTTTTGTTGTTAATATGTTAGAAAATAAGACACATGTGCACAGAAGATTCAAATACACTTCTAAATTGAAAAGGCCAAGCATTTATTTTGCAAAAATGCAAAATAAAACTAACTGCTCCATTTGTAAAACACAACACCAAAAAAAACAATAGTCTGTTAAAGCCTTCTAGAAGTTGCTGCCTCTGACCTCCACCATGGATGCTCACAATTGCGCGTGCGGGCGCGCACGCGCACACACACACACACATACAAAGTAAAGGAAGGTGAATTGATAATCAGGTGGCAACAAGAATAATTCTCCCTGTGAAGCAGTCTCCCCAATTATCTTATGTACTCATGATGACAACTGCAGCTTCTTCCCCTACAGTCAGAAGCAGAGGTGGCCAGATGAGTCCTTGCAGCCACCAACCTGCCTCAGAAACAAACCAGCTTCAGACTCTGTGCTGCTGACTGCACAGCACAGCACAGTCTGGGCCTTAACTTCTCTAAATTCCCAGCATCATCTTTCCTGCCCAGATCTGAACTCATCCCCTCCACATACTAACCTCCACCACCTTCCCCATCAAATTAGAGAAACACTGGCCTAAGCATTCCAGGTCAAAGTTCTCTGAAGCATCCCTGACTCTCCTAACAGAGTATGGCCCATCAGCCCCACCATCAGACGCACTCTAAATCTGGTATCTTTTTGCTTTTGTGGCTTCTACTGTCAATGACACTGTTGTGGTCACCTGACTCCTGACTGGTCTCTCTGCCTGCAGACTCCTTAACCTCAACACTACCAAATACATAACAGCCTAAAATGAGACTATTAATCAGACCAAATGAATGTTCGAAATCAGAGTAAATTATCAATAAGTCAGATATTTGAGTGCTCATCTACTCAACCACCCAACCCCGAAGGCCAAAGCTCACTGGTATTTACAGAAGGAAGCCCAAAGTCCTTTAAATGGACTGTATGGTCTGGATTCTGCTACTGTAGCCATATGTAACATTCTCCCCTCTTGTGCTGCCTATGTTGTCTTCCTTATTATTCCTCAGATGAGCCAAAAACACCTATCACAAGCCTTGCACTTGCTATTCTTACCTATTTGGTCTTTTGTTTTGTTTTGCTTGTCTGTTTTTGAGACAGGTTTTAAATCTGGTCCTAGACTGGCCTCAAATGCTCACTGATCCTAATTCAACTATCAAGCGTTGGAATGCAGGCCAACACCAGCACACTGGGCTGTCACTTGCTCTCTTAATTATTTCCCATAATTTCTCCTTTGTCATTAAAGAGCCATCCCAAATCCATTTATTAAAATTACAGCTCCAGGGCTGAAGAGATGGCTCAGCTGTTACAAGCACCAACTGCTCTTCCAGAGAAGCCAGGCACATGGTTGGCTCACAACCATCTTTAACTCCAGTTCCTGGGCATCTATGAGCTTTCTTCTGGCCTCCGCAGGCATTTGGCATACAAGTGGTCCCAGAAGTACACATAAGCAAAGCAATCACACCCATAAAATACATCTTCCTGTTTATTGTCCCAGGTAGAGAGTAAGAAGAGCTATGACTATGTTTTCACTACCTGGAGTACAGAATAATTCCTGACACATAAACAGGAAGTAATGGATAAAGTGTAATTTTAAGTGTAAAATAGCAAAAAGTGGAAACCCCAGCAATGTTAATGTTCATGCAGTATCAAAACTGTGTTGCTACTAATGTATTCAGTGTGGGCTGCAGATGTAGGGATGGATGACAATAACAGGAGCATGTCTCCCATGTGCTACATCCTGGGTTCCATTCACAGACCTCACAACTTACCTAGCACAAACAGGGCCCTAAGTTTCATCTCCAGCATAATAAACTCATTAGCACTGTTTATTTGCATATACCAATGTAACTTTACATAATTATCATACTTCCCAGTTTTACAAACTAAATTATAATTACCTTGTTTAAGGCATGCCCAACATGAGGGTCACCATTTGCATAAGGAGGTCCATCATGAAGACAGAATTCCGTCTTTACTTTCCTTTCTCTTTGCCAGGAATAAAGTTCTGAAAACCCACATTTCTGTTAAAAAAAAAAAAAAAAAAAAAAAAAAAAGCCAATATTTATATATCACCTAAATACGTGCTATGGAATCTCATCAATACTTGGTTATTACTGATTGTTGTAATTTAAGAGAAGTGGTGCATGAGAGAAAGACGCCATGCAACAGGGTTCAAGCAGAGGATTTTTTTTTTTTTATTAGAGAAAGGGATCATAAAAAGGGGAAAGTGATGGGGGGGGGGGGAGAACCGGCCTCTAGAGACAGAAGCAGGAGAGAGGAGAAGGAAAGGGAGAAAGAAGGGGAACAGGGAGAAGAGAAACAGAGAGAAGGATAGGAGCTGGGCAGGGCCTTTTCAAAAGGGAATATAGTGAATGTGTACAGATGCCTGACTACTAACACTGATCCCATTCCAACTCATTCAAATCAGAAATCTAACTGGAATAATTTCTGAAAGGAACCAGTATTAAAAACCTGCAGCCTTCCCCACCCCCAACAATACTTCAGATTAAAGTCTGCACTTGTGGGGGGGGGGCCGCTTTAAATCTTTGATAAGTCTCTCAGTATCATTGCCTCAATCCAGCCCTGCTGAAGGACCTGTCCACTCCCAGTCCCAACCACCACCACCCAAAACAAACTGTAACTTATTGCTATTTTTTTGGCCTCAATACTTCCCTAAGTCCAAAGACTATTCAAGCTAATTTATTCACTTAAAACAGTATTCCTAGTTATCAAGGATATTTTAAAGACTCTAATGTTATAGACACTAACACGTGAGTCTCAGCCATGAGCAAATTGAGTATGCTATAAGACAGATAACAAGGTCTACAAAGGGGACTGAGGACTGCCACTTTGTCCTACAAAGGAGTCTTAATTCCAGCGAAAGGCCTAAACATATAGCTGAAGTGGGCTTCAACTTCCCTTCTTTGCTAACATTTGAATGTTTTTTTTTTTTTTTTCCATGACTTAATTTCTGTGTGGCGCATGTGAGTGCAGAGGCATAGGTTCTCCTGGAGCTGGAGTTACAGGTGGCGCTGAGCTGCCAGATTTGCATGCTGGGAACCGAACTCAGATCCTTAGCGCGAGCAGCAAGCGCTGAACCATCTCTCCAGCCCACATTTGTATTTTTATTTATTTACATGATGGTTACTTTCTGACACACGACTGGAAAAGTGTGCAAAGCCGACTCGCTTGGTGCCGAAATCGGGACGTGCAGTGCGTGACCCTGGGCTCCGCTTTGGAACCCGCCGCCCTAGGGGCCCGAGTGGGAACGCCAGCGCCCGGAGCTGGCCCACCCCGCCCTGCCCGGGTGGCAGCGCCCGGTACCTGCTGGATCTCCAGCTCCATGTCGGGCTGCTGGCGGCCCAGCAGCTTCATGGGGAAGCTGGTCTGCGGCAGCAGCACCGTATCGCGGTATCTGCCGCTGCTCGGGCTGCTCTGGGGGCTATCCGCCCCTGCCACCGACCGCACCACCAGCCTCCTCGTCATTCCCAGACACCCCAGGCGGCCGGGAAAGCGGGCTGGCCTCCAGAAGCTCCCGGCAGCGGCCAGAGCCGCCGCCCCGGGCCCGTGAGGGCACAGCCCCCAACGCATGGTGGGCGACCCAGGCGGACTCCTCCGCTCGCGGCGCACGGCAGCTGCCCGGGATCGAAACGCTGGGGCGCCCCCCGCGAAGAACGCAGCAGCCTGGAACTGCGCACGCGCCCAGGAGCGGAAGAGGCGTGGGCAAGGGCGGGTCTTCCGGGCTGGAGGTGTGCACCACTCGGGACCTTCCCCGAGGTCACGCAAGGGTAGAGAGGGCTGGCGATCAGTTAGCTCTCCTTAATCAGACACTTAAGTTAAGCAACTTGTCCAGGATCATAGACATAAGACGTAGTGGAACTAAAGCATTGTGGTAGTGGCACAGGCATTTAATCTCAGCATTTGGGAAGCGGATCTACGAGTTCGAGGACAGCGTAGTGTATAGAGTTCCAGGACAGCCAGGGCTACACGTGTTTACAGCTGTTACTTTGTCATTCATATGCTACACTTTAAAATAAAAATGTATAAAAATTACTACAAGTCATGATAAAGTAGAAAAAAGGCAAAGGGTAAACCTAAACAAACAAACAAAAAGACGATAAATGTAAAAAGATGCTCAACTTTGGGAGCCAGGAGGCCAGTCATCTCATAGAACTAACATGATGAAGTTTGCTAACAAGTATTGGAAGAGTGGGAAAGTAAACTGCTGGATGTAGTGTAATGTGTGTAATGCCTTTCCTCTATTTGCACATACATGTGTGGTGCACATGTATGTATGCATGTTTGCATGTGTGAGCTCACAAGGTGTGGGTGAGTTTGAGGCCCTAGATTGATGCTGGGACTCATCATCCATAGCTCTTCCACCTTACTCACTGAATTAGTGTCTTTCAAGCAAACCCAGAGTTCACCACTATGGTTAGTCTCACTAATAGCTTGGCTCTGGGGATGCCAGGCTTCTCTAGCTGGAATTTAAGTGTTTGGTTAGTTCTCATGTTTTCACCACCATGCAATGCACTTAATCTCTAAACTGCACTTTCCCATCTGAGAGACTGACTGACAGCTGTCATCTCACAACAGTATGAAGATTCATACACTCGACCCTCACCCCGCTTCCACCTCCACAGAACAACTTGCTGCATTGTTTGAACTCTGCTGTTTCCTAGGAGACCCTAAGAGAACTAGAAGAATCAATGCAGAGTGCCGGTGGCCTCTGCATTTCACTGGCCATACTCTATTCATGAGACAGATTTTATTTTTGCTTATCTATGGCAGTTGTTACACAATTACAATGTATGTACAAAAACCAATGTATAAGTTTGTAATATTTTTTTAGATTTACTTATTTTATGTGTATGAGTCTTTGCATATATTTATGTGTTCGTGTGTACCGTGTGTGTCTGGTGCTCACAGTGTGGGGTACCCAGGAACTAGCATTTTGGATGGTTGTGAGCCTCACCGTGGGTACTGGGAACCAAACCCAGGTCCTCAAGGAGAACAAGTGCTCTTAACTGCCAGATGAGCCATCTCACCAGCCCCCAGTATTTGTTTTGTTTTGGACATAGGGTTTCTCTGTGTAACCGTGGCTGTCCTGCTTTGTAGACTAGGCTGACCTGGAACTCAAAAAGATCTGCCTGCCTCTGCTTCCTGAGTGCATGGATTAAAGAAGCATGTCACCATGCACAGTCTCGGTTTTTGTTGTTGTTTTGTTTTTCGAGACAGGGTTTCTCTGTATTGCTTTGGAGCCTGTCCTAGAACTAGCTCTTGTAGACCAGACTGGACTCGAACTCAGAGATCCACCTACCTCTGCCTCCCTAGTGCCGGGGCTAAAGGTGTGACAGAAGGTATTTCTAAATTCACAGAGTAAATGAAATAAAGTATGAGTCTTTCCCAACCATAGCTGTATATAAATAGTAAATGTTGACATTCATCGCTGGTGAAAATAGGGGTATCCCAGTATATGAAAAGCTGAGGTAGGAAGATTGCCGTTGGTTCAAGGCCAGCCTAAGTGAAACCCTGACTCTCTCTCTCTCTCTCTCTCTCTCTCTCTCTCTCTCTCTCTCTCTCTCTCTCTCTCTCTCTTTGTGTGTGTGTGTGTGTGTGTGTGTTATGGTTTACTTCTTATAACTAAAGTTTGAGAGTTGCAGAAAACACATGGGAAAAACAAAATGTGTTCGTTACCATCCTCACAAAATAACGACATCAGATTTTAAGCAGGGGATGGGGGGGAGTGTTGCTTTTATGAAAACAACCCCATAAAGGCAACTCATCCAAAAACAAAGCCAAGCCAGGCGTGGTGAAACTTGTGCAGTCGCAGTCTCTCCTAAGTTAGGAAGATGTGTGGCCCAAGGCCAGCCTGGGCTACCTAAACCCTGTGTCAAGAAACAAAACAAGCAAAACCTTGTTGAGGTGAAGCTAGAACGCCAGGAAGCAGCAACCGGGAACGTCCCAGTGACTCAGGCTTTGGCCAAAGAAATCTGCACAAGAACAAGGTGAAGAGGCAAATGCCTGCGGGGAGGCTGTTGTGCGCCTGCGCCGAGTGCCGGCACGCGCAGCCGCATCTCTCTCTGTACATTGGACCAGTGGACTTGGAGGAAGCGGGGACGCGGGCGGCGAGCAACCCGGAGGGACAGCAGTTGGGACGCGGGGCGGCTGAGTGAGTGTAAGTTTCTCCCGCGGCGGGCAAGGCCTCCGAGGCCCTAGTGTCGTGGCCCTGTAACTGTCCTCCGCTGCTTGCAGCGAGGAGAGGAGAGCCAGGGGTGGTGATGCAGGGCGCCCTGTGGGAACACTGCTTTTAGTTAGTTCCTGGCATCTGAAAGCTTGAGTGGCCACCTGCGGGTGCTTACTGGGCCTGGCCTTCTGGAGGACACTGCTTAACTTAATATTTTGAGTAAGCCGCAAGGTTAAACTTGATTTTCCTTCTTACTGCCTCCAGACTTGGGAACTTCAAAATAGCCAGTATTCTTTCGGTTGTTATTTCTGCATGCTAATGAGCCCCTGTGATTCGTTTCCCCAGGAATATAAACTGCATCGAACGATGTATATACACTTTGTTTTTCTTAGATGGCTCGCTCCAGTAAGAACATTTTCTTAACCTTTGCAGATCGGGCAAACGGTTGCGTCAATCTTAATCACTTCTCGGGCTCTAAGATTGCATTTCTTTTATATTCAGTATTATCACATTCGTGTATTTAGTGGCCAGTCATTTTCTTTCTCTCTGGGAACTGTCAACTGTTCTTGCTCCTCCCCCCCCCCCCCCCGGAATATCGCCTTTTATTTACTGAGGCATAAGGGCTCCAAATAAACCTTCAGTTACTAGTATATGATAAAGGACCTAAGGTCTCCTTTTGTCAGTTATGACTTTGCTTTGCTTATGGTACTTTGGTCATGTACAAATTTTAATTTCTATGTGAATTTGTTAATACACTATTATGAATTCTTAGTTTTATGTTTCAAAGGCCTTTACAAGTTTATAAAACCATTCCTAGACTTTTTATGGCTTCACTCTTTTAATTAAAACGTATTAGAGACTTATAGATGTAGTGAGACATCCACTCTGCCCTCACCTGTTGCATTGACCACGCCCTTGGAACGTGAGGTGAGGACTAGGTCTGGGGTCCCTGATCTCGGCTTGCTCTCAGACAGCGAGCATCTCGGGGCATCCATGGAATGGGAACCTGCGGCGGTTATCTGTTTCTGATATAAGTGATTTCTCCACAAATAAACATCCTTCAGCCTATCGTTTTCCAGATTCTTATTTCCCAAGCAATAGAGCCAACTTAGACTGGCTTCAAACCCAAGGTATTCTTACCTCAGCCTCCTGAATTTTGAGATTATAGGATAGGAGTATGTTTCCACCCAGGACCACCTGGAACCTTAAAAAAAAAAAATGCATTTAGTGTCGTTGTGTGTTTGTCTATGTGCGTGCGTGTGTGTGTGTGTGTGTGCGCGTGTGTGCATGTGTGTGTGTGTGTGTGTGTGTGTGTGTGTGTGTGTGTGTGTGTGTAGGCAATGTACCACAGGTGTTTGGGTGGAGGATGGAGGGCTACTTGCAGAGTTCAGTTCTCTATTTCCACTGTGCTGATTTGAAATCAGGTCCTTAAGTTTAGTGGCAAGCTATTTAACTAGCTGAACCTTTTGCCAGTTTCTCTGGAACATATTTGGTAATTTTTTGAAACTCTAGCAATTGCCCTGCCATTTGTGTACAAGTGGCTTTCCTTCTTTTTTGTTCTTTCTTTCCTCTCTTTTCTTTTGAGTCAGGATCTTGTCGTGTAGCCCAGGCTAGCCTCAAATCCATGCTCTTCCTGCCTCTCCTTCCTAAGTGCTAGACAAGTGTCATTCTATTCATCAGCTTCATCCTGAACTTAAAATTATCAAACCCCCCCTTTTTTTTTCAAGACAGGGTTTCTCTGTGTGGTCTTGGCTGTCCTGGAACTCACTCTAAACCAGGCTGGCCTCAGACTCACAGAGATCCACTCATCCTCTGGAGTGCTGGGATTAAAGGCATGTGCCACCCCCTCCTCACTAAAATACACTCTTAGTAGTATGTTTGGATTCATTTCTGAGAGTTACTGAGAGATACTGTTCAGTTGGTAGAGTGCTTGCCTAGCAAGCATGAGGCCCAGAGTTCTATCACTAGCGCTCTCTCTCTCTCTCTCTCTCTCTCTCTCTCTCTCTCTGTGTGTGTGTGTGTATGCATTTATGTGTATGCACACACATATATATACTTTCTCCAAACATTTTGTTTTGTTTAGAGTATGTGTGTGCAAGCATGGGTGTTCAGAAAAATTGCTTCACTAGGCAACCAAAGCTAGCCCGGAACCCTACCGTGTAACTAATGTTGGTGTGTTACTCCCAGTCCTCCTGACTCAGCTTTCTAGGTGCAAAGATTAGAAGCAGGGTCACCACACCCAGCTGATTATTATTTTTTGATAACTGGTAACAAGGGGCTCTCTATTAATTGTTCAGCATTTGCTCCATCACGCTCATTTTTATCTATCCAGATACCTTGAACTTCAGCACTATTTAACCAGGCTCCAAAGATAAATGATTCTTTCTAATGCTTTCACTGGGAACATATCAGACATTTTAAAACCCTAATCTGCATGCCCACCACCCCTATAAGAATTAATGACAAAGCACAAAAAAGATACAGGTTGTTGTTGACTGTCTTTGCCCTGAAAACTTAAGGCTATGGTGGGGGGGGGGGAGATCATTGAGCCTTGCTCTTCTTCTTTTTGTGGCTGTTCTTTGTTTTTATTTGTTTTTTGTTTGTTTGTTTGTTTTGTTTTGTTTTTCAAGACAGGGCTTCTCTGTATTGTTTTGGAGCCTGTCCTGGAATTCACTCTGTAGACCAGGCTGGGCTCAAACTCACAGAGGTCCGCCTGCCTCTGCCTCCCGAGTGCTGGGATTAAAAGCATTCATCACCAAAGCCCGGCTTGAGATGGTCTAACTTTGTAGATCTGGCTGGTCTGTCACTTGGCCTCTAGTCCAAGCTGTTCTCAACTTTTAGCAGTTCTCTTAGTAACAGGAACCCCAGTCTTCTGACTGGTGAGATTACCATGTCTGTCTCGTGTTTCCCATCCTTCTAAAGCAGCTGGCAGGCATTGTGGGCATTAGGTTGATTCAGTGTTTGTCATATTTACACTAAGTCTCAAGCCTAGGATGTAGGACAGAAGAACCTCTGTCCCATAAGGTACTGTTCCACCTCCCTAGGTCAGAGTATCCCTTGACTGAGTTGCTTTCCTCACAGTGAATAAGAATCAACTCAAGGAGAAGATGTTTATTTTGGCTGATGGTTTCCATCATGGTGAGAAAGACATGTGGCTGGACTCCACTCTTGGTGGTGGAAGTTTCATGTGACTTCTGTCATGTTGGTGGATCTGGAAGCAGAGAGCCTGAACAGAAGCAGAGAAGTGGAGCAGGTGTCAGTGCCGGGCTGGCCATAATGAAATCTTAAGGACTGCTGTCTAGCCATCCACTTCCTCTAACTGGGCCCAGCCTCCTACAGGTTCTACCCAGTGTCCTAAACCAGCAACCGTACTTGGTGAGAAAATGTGGGTGAGCCTATGGGAGGTGTTTAAATTATATTTAGGTTATATGTATGTGCCTGTGTGTCTGTATGTGGGTTGAGTGCAGGTGCCCATGGAGGCCAAAAGGGGACATGTGGTTCCCTGGAGCTGGAGTTACAAGTGTTTGTGAACTGTTCCATATGGGTTCTGGGATATGAGCTCTGATCCCCCACAAGAACAGTGTGTGCTCTTAACCATTAGCCCTCTCTCCAACCCCTTGCCTTTTGTTTCTGAGACTCCTGTGTATCACTGTTGTAGCCAGAACAAAGGAAACCACTGAAATATGATTAGCCAGTGTTGTCTGATGCTTATCTGTAGGATCAATGCTTTCCATGCAGTATTTAATAATTACAACATCCCTACACTAATGGGTGCAGTTTTCCCCATTTATAAATTCAAGGATAGAGTCGTCTGGCGGCTTTCCTAAAGCTAACATAGGCCAGGATGTGGACATAGGCAGCTGACTCCAGAGGCTGCCTTAGCCACCACGCTGTTTTGTAGCTAAGCTTGTGAAAGTTTATGTTCCCAGAAGAAGTGTTCAGGTAAAACTCAGAGGAAGATGAGCGAGTGTGGGGAGTGTTTTCTGAGCTGTAATAAGGAAGTTAATGTAGTGGCTAGTGTTAGCCTTGTTCTTAAGTCACCTATCACTTTCAAAGGTAATTCCACTTGGGTTGCTAGAGAACACTGGGACAGAAGTGATAAAGCTAGTAAGAATCTCTTTTACACATTTTGTATTTTGGTATTTTTTTTTTTATACCAAGAATCAAAATTGCATATACATACACACACATACATATTTCTTTTAAAACTATGGCAAGAAAATTGTTAGGGCCTGGAGGGGTAATAATATTTCTGTTCTTATGTCTTACAAACTGATGCTCTCTTTAAATTGTGGTTCATAAACATTGGGTACATTTATTAAGGTAGTGAGCAGACAGCCTGGAAATTTTCTGTTGGAAGAAGAAAGGTCTGCATATATGTGGCAAGCCAAAGAGGAAGTGGATTAGTCATGCCTAAAGCCTAACAAGGCTCAACTGATTAGTGAATTGGATTAAGAGAAATGATCTCTATGAAAAGTGTGAGAAAATTATCTCTCTGTCACTACTCCCACAGGTTAAACCCTCCTCAGCATTTAGGCATGTGACAAATCAATTGTAGCTCAATGATATAGAACTTGCCTCTTTAGGCCTCAGATGTGATTCTCAGCATCCCATGCCCCAGAAAAGTTGGCAATGGAACAAATGGCTGTATTTGTTCTTTACTTGTGGTTCCTGTGGATAAGTAATAGCCATGCACACCTTGACCTAAGTAAAGTATTATCAACCTGATTTGATCTTGAGTTGGAAAGCTTTTGTTTAAGTTTTAAAGGTTTTTGTTGCTGTTGTTATTGTTGAACAATGTATCTTTATTTAGCCAGGTTGACCTAGAACTTGCTATATAGCCTAGGCTGGTCTTCATCTTAGGATCCCCCTGTCCCAGCTTTCTGAGGGCTGGGATTTCACACAGATCTAGGTCACCCAGTCTGCTTTGTTTTTGTGTTTTGCTGTGGTGAGGACTGAACCCAAGGCTCTGTATGTGTTCTACCACTGGAATATATCGGTAGCCTGAGAGTTTTTGCCTTAAGCACTTGGAGACAGAAAAATAGTACAACGGGGAAAGGGAAGGAAATGGGAGGGAAGCTAACAAGCTGGGCTATAGTATCAGCTAACACCTGGGTTGGCCCCACTGGGATAGTCCTTCAGAGTGTCCATTTTACATCTTTCTATCAAAGCCAGGTGTGGTGGCATATACTTGTCATACCAGTGCTGAGACCCGAGTATTAGTACTTTGAGGCAAGCGCCGGCTACACAGGGGGACTCTGTTACATGAACAGAATGAGTAGGGAGGTCCAGCACTCAGGAGACAGAGGCAGATGGATCTCTGTAAGTTTAAAGCCACCTGGTGTACTCCTGGAGTTTGAGGCCTGTCAGGGCAACATTGCAATTTGTTTTTAAACAGCACTAGAGTTTGCATACAGGGCCTTGAGTGTGCTGAACATGAAAGCAAGAGCTGTGCTACAGAGCTACAGCCAAGTTCCCCTCTTTGCAGTTTACCCTGTGTGAGCATCCAAGTCCCCTTATGCTGCTCACCCCTCTCTTGCACTTATCAACTCTAGTGTTGAAATGTCAGCTGATCGTTGCATATTATAGTTTTAGCTCCAAAGATTTCCACTTTGAGTGTTACACACCTCACCTGCTGATTTCCTTTCTCCAGGCTTTAAAATGCTTTGTTGGCTAAGAAAGCATGTTATATAGGGTATGAGTTTGAGGACATCCAGGTTTACACAGAGAAACTGTCTAAATATGAAAGACCCTATGCAGTTAATCGAGTCATTCAGTAAATATGTGTCATATTGAATTCAATTAATTGAAATCAGTAGCACATCTCTAAAGTAACAAAACATTTTTCTCCTTTCTTTAAGGCTCATCATGGCTTCCAGCCACACTGTGTTGATGCGACTGGTAGCCTCAGCCTATTCTATTGCCCAGAAGGCAGGAACCATAGTCAGGTGTGTCATTGCTGAAGGAGATCTGGGCATCGTGCAGAAGGTACTGCAAACCTTGTCTGTTTCTGCAATCATGGTTTTTGTTCATCGTAGTGGGTAAAGAATGTCATATTCTAGACCAACCATCAATAAAATGATAGAGACTACAACTTTGAAAATCATGCCAGACTGCATCCAAAATCATTGTCTATATGTCTTCTGCCTGAAGCCCAGAACAGATTGTAATTTATTCCATCCAAGACCACCACAGAACCATGCAACCTTAGATCATACAATATGTTTGAGAAGATCTGCTGTTTAAATAAATATTTCTTATTCAAAGCTATAAAAGTCACATGTGGTGCCAGATAGCCATTGTCCCAGCACTTGGGAGATGAAGACAAGAAATTCAGATGTTCAAGGCCAGCCTGAACTATGTGAGACTTAGCCTCAGCCCCATCTCCATCCTCACACTACTCCCCACTCCCCACCCTCCCCCAAAAAAACAACAGAATTTCTTTCTAATGCATTATCGAATTGTCTTCAGGACCTCTTGAATTACAAGGATGAGTGGGGGAGTTCTAGAGGAAGCTGTTCACACACTGATGTTGAAGTATTTAGCTTCACTTTGAAACCATGTAAATTGATTTTTTTTTTTTTTTTTTTTTTTTTTTTTTTTGTCTATTTTGTTTTGAGACAGGGTTTTGTTGTGCTGCCCTGGCTAGCCTAGAACTCACTGTGTAGACTAGGTTGGCACAGGACTTATTGGGGCCAGGCATTGGTGGTGCACACCTTTAATCCCAGCTCTCTGGAGGCAGAGGCAGGTGGATCTCTGTGAGTTCGAGGCCAGCCTGGTGTACAGAGTGAGTTCCAGGACAGGCTCCAAAGCGACACAGAGAAACCCTATCTCAAAAAAAAAACAAACCAAAACAAAACAAACAGTACTTATGGGGGCTAGCCTGGAACTCACTGTAGACTAGGCTGGCACAGGACTTCTGGTAAACCTGCTGCTTCTGCTTTTCAAGTATGAGATTATAAATAGTGTATATACTGGTAGTTTCCCATCTCTTAGCCTATGACGAAGGTTGGTAACTAGAATCTTATAAAATAATTTCTCAACTAGACAATAAGATATTCCAAATAATTTAGAAGTACCTTTGCAAACTTGAACCATTGTGGAGCTGGGAATGTAGCTCAGTTGTAGAGTGCTTGCTTAGCATGTTTAATCTCCATCCACACATACCCTGTGTTTCTAAACTGTTTTATTTATTGATATACAGTTTCACATTGTAGTGTAAACTGATCTCAGATGCATGGCAATCCTCCTGTCTCAGCCTCCTGAGTGCTGAGATTACAGTCATTGTGATACAACCCAGCTTTACTTCCCAGTCTTTTAATTTCAAGACAGGCTTTGTGTAGCCCTGGCCTTCCTGGAAGCTGTGTAGACCTGGCTGGTCTCGAACTCACAGAGATCTGTCTGCCTCTATTTTTGAGTGCTGGGATTAAAGGTGTGTGCCAGGAACACCCAGCTCACTTCACTTCCCATTCCTTTTTTTTTTTTTTTTAAGATTCTTTTATTATGTACAGTGTTGTGTCTGCATGTATCTCTGCAGGCCAGAAGAGGGCACCAGATCTTATTAGGAAATTGAACTCGACTTCTGGAAGAACAGACAATGCTCTTAACCACTGAGCCATCTCTCCAGCCCTCACTTCCCAGTCTTAATTGCTGTTAATTCTCGGAGAAGCAACAGGGCATACAACTAGAGGTTTCCTTTGGGGCTAAGCTCTGAATCTAAAATCTGAAATTATAGTTTAAATTACATGACTAATGTGCACTTGGGAGTCAGAAGACCATTTATCCTTAATTGTATTTCTATTGAGATTTGCATTCTTTATTACAGACCTCAGCCACAGACCTGCAGACCAAAGCAGACCGCTTGGTGCAGATGAGCATATGCTCTTCCCTGGCACGGAAGTTCCCTAAGCTGACAATAATAGGGGAGGAGGTAAGCTCCCATGCCATGTAGATTCATAACCGGCGTGCCATTGAGTCACATGTCATGGTTACAGTCTTAGCATTGGAACTAGTGTCTGCACACAAAAGTGCTCATATTCCTTAGAGGAAATAATTGGATTTTATATTATTTTGGTCTGGCACTTTACAGAAAGCATCAGTCAATTCTCAGAGTTTCTTGGTGGAATCATTAGGGTCTGCCATGTACAGCATCATATTCTCTGCAAATAGGAGTGCACCGACTTCCTCACTTCCTGATTCTGTTGCTCTCTTTCCTTGTTCTTGTCCTGTTGCTCTGTGATTAAAACACCATATTGACTTGTTTCTAACTTTAGTTTGGTGTTTGTTTGACAGGGTCTTCTTATGGAGCCCAGGCTGGCCTGAAATTCTTCTGCTTTGGCCAATCAAGTGCTGGGATCACAGGTGTACTGGGCTCCATAAGAAGATGTTTTTTTTCCTTCTTTTTTATCCTCACTCACATTGCCCCTTTTGTGGTACTCAAGGTTATACCCAGTCTGGCATGCTGGGTAACAGCTGAAGCACTGAGCTGCTTCCCAAGTCCTAGTGTGACTAGAACCCAGGTTCGTAACCCACTGCCTTAGTATCTCAGCATTCCAAAACAAACTGGGAAACAGCAATGAGTAAGGGAAAACAAATTTGCTTATAATTTTAGATGGAGAAGAGGAAAGGGTTTGGGGTTCCTCCTAGATGTTCCTGGATCATGGTTTAATGAAGCTGTGAGGTTAAGTCACCAGAACTGTGAGATTTTCTGTGGGGGAGGCCCCTTCCTGGTGCCCACTTTTCAGGCTCAGGGCAGTAGCTCCTGGGGAAATCCTAGTCCCTCACTTGATCTCCTCCAGCCCCTGCTAGTTTTTCACTAGGTTTGCAGAAGAGGTGAACAGAAGTGGCCAGGAACCCAGTTGCCACATTTGTGTAGGGACACGATGCATTGTGGGACAAAGGGCTTCAGCAGGATCAAATTGTCTCTGTTGCAGGACCTGCCTCCTGGGGAAGTGGATCAAGAGCTGATTGAAGACGGGCAATGGGAGGAAATCCTGAAGCAGCCATGTCCATCGCAGTATAGCGCTATTAAAGAGGAAGACGTAAGGTCCACCTTCATGCTTTGTACTCTCTCTTAGTTTGTGTCTGTAGCCATCATGAAGGAAATGCAATTTGTCTGTAAGAGGGGAAGTGTGTGGTTACAAAGTAGTGGCAGACATGCTCCAAGTCCTCTAGAGCCAGCAGAAGGAGCAGGACCACACAGACCTGTGGCCAACCCTGGCTCACAGTCCTCTCCTGTAGGTCTCCTCTGTCTTTTGAAACCATCATTAAAAACATTTTTAGTGAGAAAGTCTCCTATGCTGCTCAGAAGATTTGGTAACAAAGCATTGTGTGAGCAATGAGGCTGGTCATTCTAGAAAACCATACAAGGCTTCTTTCTTAGGCCAAAGAGATGGGTTGGCAGATAAGAGCATTGGCTGCTCTTGTTGAGGATCCAGGTTCAGTTCCCAGAAACCACACTTAACAGCTGCCTGTAACACTAGCTCCTGGGGATCCTAGTTTTAAATTATTAAACATTGCACTTACAGAATGATTACTACAAGAAAAAAAATTCTGTTCTTTGGCAAGAGTGATAACATAATGAGACATGACATCAGGTGTGTCTCAGAAATTCATTCTCAGCTCACTGAGTGTGTATGCGAGGAGTATATTCTAAACGGTGTTGAAAGTCCTAAGCAGGAGGGATTTCTCCTTTAATCTGGTGCTCATTTTATGAGCCATTCTATTTTCTTGGGTTATTGTGATGTGTCCTTAAGATAATCAAACCTTTTTTCTTCTTTCTTTCTTTTTTTTTGTTTTTTGTTTTTTGTTTTTTGTTTTATTGGTTTTTGGTTTTTTTGTTTTGTTTTGTTTTGAGACAGGGTTATTTATGTTTTAAATCAGCATGTACAGGCCTGACATGGTGACACACGCCTTTAATCCCAGCATTTGAGAGGCAGAGGCAGGTGGATCTGTGAGTTTGAAGCCATCCTAATTTACATAGTGAGTTCCATGACAACCAGGAATATGTAGTGAGGCCCAGTCTCAAAACACTGAACAAGAAGAAAAAATAAATCTGCACATACATATGAAATAAGTAACAACCTTAGCTTGTTCGAAAGTCTTAGTGTTGTGTATTGCCTGTATTGCCATCGAGAGCTATGTAAATTCATGACAATGTGCTTAGTGTTCAAGTGACAGCCAACATTTATCAACTGTATTGAAAGACATGGCAAGGGTTCTTAAACTAGCCTTTTACTTACTTTAAATGGACTTACTCCATGATTGTAAAGCTTTGGGTTTTATGATTTTTATAATCACAAAGCTTATAATGTTGATTTAAGCCATCTCTAATAATGTGTCCAAACATAGTAAAAATGGATGCTTTTAATATGTTAATTCTCTCTGAATTTTACATACTTGATGAGGGTATTTTCTCTTTTCTTTTTGTGTTTTTATTTTTGCAGCTTGTGGTTTGGGTTGACCCCTTAGATGGCACCAAGGAATACACTGAAGGTCAGTATCTCTTGGACACATGTACAGTGCTGAGGCAGGGCTCTGATACATGAATGTGATGTTCTTGGACCAAATGAAGAGCTGCTGTCATACGAGTGCCAGCTAAAATAGTTCATCTTCAGATGCCAGCCCCCACATACTCTGCCAGCTCCAGTTCTGAGGGCCCCACATGGGAGACGCCATCATTATAGCCCTTCTTACCCCAGGGACTGTGAGGACACTGTTTTCTTGGGCTAGAACAATGCTTGGCACAGCTGTGCTGCCCCAGCTCCACCACACCCGGTCCCACAGCACCCCTCACTCCCCTCCCCTCACTCCCACAGCACCCCTCTCTCCCCCCTCATCTGAGGAGGGTGCTGTGGAACTGAGAAGAGGGGAGAGTGAAGGGTGCTGTGAGTGAACCATTGCGAATTCCCTAACTTTACTGCAAGAATAATTGCAGTTGGGTGGTGCCACATGCCTTTAATCCTAGCATTCAGGAGGCAGGAGACCAGCCTCGTCTAGAAAATGAGTTCTGGGATAGCCAGGGCTACACAGAGAAACCAAAAATTAAAATAATGATGATAATAATAAGACTAGTGGCTTCTTGTTTGATGTATTCCTGATAAACCGTAATGTTGAGAAAGTGACATACTTAATTCTTTCCTTCATAGGTCTTCTTGACAATGTTACCGTTCTTATTGGGATTGCTTATGAAGGGAAGGCCATTGCAGGCATCATCAACCAGCCATATTACAACTACCAGGTACTGCTACCAATGGCACATAAGTATTAGATACATAACTATAGTGGTCTGAGGAGTCCAGATGCCATATAGTCCACCTGTTACCTCACTCATTTGCACAAGCAGTCACTTGGGGGTTGGGCTCCTGAAGGTACAGCCTCCCAGGCAGCTGTTCACTGATTGAATTAGAACCTTCTGAGGGGATTGGGTCCAGGAATGTACATGTGGCTGAATAGACTGTGTGCACTATACTTTTTATATATTTGTGATTCAATTGCAATAGTTTGGAAATGACCCACTTGGTTCTTGATTAGCGTGGTCATCAGGACACCTGGTTTACAGGTAGTTCTTGAAGCACACTGAAGAAATGAAGCTTGTCAACAAAGAACAGATACTAGCCATGTTGCTTCCCCGGTAATGCTGTGCAGTACCTGCATCACTGCCAGTCCAGGTAGCCTGTCACTGGTGCTTGTAGCCCCTTCCTCCTACTTTGTTTCTTGCAACCTGCTTTGACTTCCTGCTGTACTTCTGAGTACTGTCTCCTTTAGAAACAAGGGACCAGTATAATTTCAGGGCAAAAATGTATCAATAAATTTTACTAACTATAACATTTAAAGTTCATATTAATATGAACTTGATAAAAGTTTGGACAACAAGCTAACCAGAATGGGGGCTATCTCTTCTGAATGTCTGATGTGAGAACAGGCTTCATATTTAGGTGTAATGTGAGTCTGTTTATCTGCTGCTGATGGGAGTAGAAATTTGATTATTTCTTGTGGGTTTTCCCAGAGTGGCTCGACACTGTTAGTAGAGTCAGAATGAAATGCTAAGGTGTTAATCCTGACAGTGTGGCTTTGCTGTCTGGACTGTAGTACACATGGGCATGGGTTTGTGACTTTAATACTGTTCCTTAAAAGAAGGGTATTTAATTCGTAGAAAAAAAGGCATGCGTGGCCCCTTTTGTCAAAAATAGAGATGTAAGTACTTAGGAATTGTTAATGGTTTTCATCCCTTATTTCTGAGACTAGAAACTTGTATTCATTTTCCACAGAACAATGAAAAGGAGAAGTTAAGGGAGCAGAGGAAGGAAGCGAAGGTGAGAAACAGCTAGGGTTTTGGTTCCAGTGCTAGAGAGGAAAGAGGCAGGCACTGTGGCAGCCGGTCCGTCCTGTGAGCCGGTTCATCTCCTCCTGCTCAGCACCTCTTTTGCCTTCCTGTGCCGTATCCTCTTAGCCCTCTTTGCCTCTGAGTGTGCCTTAAAATGTGTTTGGACAAGTAGAAATGGAAAGGTTGGCTGCTGCTGGTGACATCAGAGCCTGAGTGTATCAGGCCCTCGCTGTGCTGCCATTCTCCTTGACAACCATCCCCCTGTCCTGTCCTGGGGCATGCAGCCTGCAGCATAAACTGGTTTCACTCTGCAAGCACCAGTGTACTTCTCTAGGACAAAGAATCTATGACTTTGAAAACATTTGGAGAAGTCAGCGCAGGTTGTTCAGTGTCCACTTTGATGGACACAGTGGCACTAACCTGTAGCCCCACCTACTTAGAAGTCAAGGTCATCCAGACCAAGGCAATAAGACCCCCTTCTCAAAAACAACACAAAGCAAAATCAGAACCTCTTTGCTGAACTGCAGAGATGGCCCAGCAGCTGGGAGTTTATGCAGTTTATGACTGTTTATGCAGAGGACCCAGCAGTTGGGAGTACTGGCTGCTCTTGCAGACTAATCATCAGGGTTATCAGCACCCATATGACTGTCCTTGCCCATCTGGAGCTCTAGTTTGAGGCAAACATGGTGCATATACACACATGTAGGCAAACACTCAAACACATAAATTAAAAATAGGTCTTTCTGCTAAGCAGTGGTGGCACATGGCAACATGGCAGGTAGTTATCTGTGAGTTTGAGGCCAGCCTGGTCTACAGAGTGAGTTCCAGGACAGCCAAGGCTATACAGAGAATCCCTTTCTCAAAAACCCAAACATGCATGCATATATACATACATACGTACGTACATCTTTTCAAGGCCAGCCTGGTCTAATACAGTTCTAGGCAGGCATGGCTGCATAGTGAGACCATGTCTCCAAAAATAAAATAAAACAAAAAGATCTCTGAACCCAGATGAGATGGTTTTGAGAACAACTTCGTAGGCTCCTCCTTCAGTTTATTAAGTTATTCTAAACCTCAATGTTAAGGATAACAACATCTACTTTCTGGGGTTAATGCATGCATAAAGACACATCCTTGCTGAATGAATCGCATGCCTGTTCTCACAGTACACCTCCCCAGCTGAGGGGAACTGTGTTGAGTTTGGACTTCTTGTATTAGAGTCAATTTTAATTTTTCTAAAGCATGTTCATCTACATGAACTGTATTTTTAGCAGTGTGGTTGCAACATCTCTGAGTTCCACAGAGGAAGTCACAGATTCTAAGATTGTGCTGTCCTTTTGTTCATTCAGGGCGTCGGCCATTAAAATCTTAGCCCTGTCTCCACTGTTCATGGCTTTCTGCAGTGTCAGCCTGTTCTATGGCAGCAAAATGCATCCTCCCTATTATTCCTGTTGTCCCTTGAATAATGAAAGTAGTTCACTGTATATGAGCACTACATTATAACCCTAATAATGATCAGCACACAGTTGTACTTCCTGGAACTTCAGTACTGTAGAAAAATGGCTGTTTTCACTTTAACAGACAGATCCTGTGGATGATTCCAAAAGAAACAGCAGTCAGAGTAGGAAGGTCACTCTCTTGAGGACAGAGTGTACCCTTTCTTTGAGACTGTTGGCCAAAGAAAGCAGCAATGAGGATAATCAAATTATTATCAGGATAATTCTTGTCTCTTTGGTGTCCTTATGTTTATAACATTGTGTGTTTTTGCTTTCATAACTAAAATATATATCCGTTATTACAAGCTTGGTAACTTCAGCTAAGGGAGGCTGCCTGTTTCCTTTGTGCTTGACAACTTTCTCTGGTGATGTGAGCTTTGCTATCATTCACACAGGCCGGCCCTGATGCTGTGCTTGGCAGGACCATCTGGGGAGTTCTGGGTTTGGGTGCTTTTGGGTTTCAGTTGAAAGAAGCGCCCGCCGGGAAGCACATCATCACAACCACCCGGTCCCATAGCAACAAGCTGGTCACAGACTGCGTGTCAGCCATGAATCCCGACAACGTGCTTCGAGTCGGGGGAGCAGGAAACAAGGTACGACAGCACGTGAAATATGCTGCCATTGAACGAAATGCCTCCGTCAAAGTAGTCTCTATCCAGTCCAGTCTTCACAGATACCAGTAAGACAGTTAAATGCAAAACACAGCCCAGTGTGTGCTGCGTGGTGCAGTCCTAACACTGGGGAGATGGAGACAGGAGGATCGGAATTCTAGATTATCCTTGGCTATCTATGAAGTTTGAGGCCAGCCTGGGCTACAGGAGCCTCTGTTTCAAGTACACCAGTGGCTAATAATGGCTCATAATTGAGTAGTGGGAGGGGCAAGGGTTCTGAAGTCTCAGAAAGTACTTGCTACTAGCCAGCACAGCACACCCGCTAGGCTTGTCTCTTGTGGTACTATTGACTGTTTGTCTATTACTTAGCAATGACCACAGTTTTTCAAAAACAATACTTGTCCACAGCGAATATGTATTTCCTTTAGAGTAAGAAAGAAAAGCCATGTGAATAAGAAAACTTAATCTAACTTGGACTATAGACTGTGGCTTATTTGGTCATATTTTTTCTGTTTAGATTATCATGTATTATTTTCACCTGTTTTATTTCTGCTAAGGCTTCAATCTAAGCCTGGCAGGAATTGGTGAAATGTCTGAGGTGGGCATCAGAAGTTCTTCTCATTGGCAGCTTGGTCTTTACATGGTGGTGTAATTAGTACTTTTCACCTTACAGATCATCCAGCTGATTGAAGGCAAAGCCTCTGCTTATGTATTCGCTAGTCCTGGCTGTAAGAAGTGGGATACTTGTGCCCCGGAAGTTATCTTACATGCTGTGGGAGGTGAGTCCAGTTGATCCTGGAGAACTCAGGTTTTTATATTGTACTCGGGCATTATATTTCAGTAATATTCTGTGTGTGTGTGTGTGTGTGTGCGCATAGGTGTTTTGTCTGCATGTTTGTCTGTACACCACATGCATGCCTGGTGCCCTTGGAGGCCAGAAGAGGGTGTTGGATCACCTAGAATTGGAATTACAGATGGTTGTAAGCCTCCTATGTGTTTGCTGGGAATCAAACCCAAGTCCTCTGACAGGGCAGCCATGAAGAATGCTTGTAACTGCTGAGCCATCTCTACAGCCCTCAGTTAACATTCTTCACCTAGATTCTAGAATGCAGATGCTGGAGGGAAGCCCATCAAGGATATTTTCAACAAACTAAATTTTCTTTAGTTTATAGACTTTGATAAGAATGGAGTTTCATCTTCATAAAGTTAATCAGACTCTTACTTTGTTGTTGTTGCTATTTCTCTGTTTCATTAACACAAGGTCTCACTGCACCCTTGGCTGGCCTTGCATTCATGTGACTCGGGCTTAAAAACTCAGAAAACTCAGAGCACTTCCCGCTTTGCCAGAGGAATTCAGTTCCCAGCACCCACATCTGGTGGTTCACAACCACCTGTAACTCCAGCTTCAACCTGTCCCTTCTGATGTTTGCTACCACACTCATACACACATACAGAGAGAGAGAGAGAGAGAGAGAGAGAGAGAGAGAGAGAGAGAGAGAGAGAGAGAGAGAATTTTTTTTTAAGTCAAGGCTTTGTCTTTAAAAATTAGAAAATAGGTGAGGGGGTTAGTTAAACTCCATGGTAGAGCACCTGGCTGGCATGTATGAGGCCCAAGTTTTAAGTCATCTAGACACAAGCTAGAGTCATCTGAGAGAAGGGAGCCTCACTTGAGAAAATGTGTCCATAAGATTGGACTATAGGCAAGCCTATGGGGCATTCTTTTAATTGGCGACTGATGGGGAGGCCTAGCCTATTGTGGGTGGTGCCATCCCTGGGCTGGTGGTTCTGAGTTCAGTGAAAAAGCAAGCTGAGCCTGGTGGTGGTGGTGCACTGCAGGCCTTTAATTCCAGCACTTGGGAGGCAGAAGCAAGTGGATCTCAGTGAGTTCAAGGCCAGCCTGATCTACAAAGCGAGTTCCAGGACAGCCAGAACTATACACAGACACCCTGAGTCAACAACAAAACGAAACAAAACAAAGCAAAACAAAATAATAAATAAATAAGTAGAGTGGGCTTAGCCATCCGATCCATAGAGAGCAAGCCAGTAACCAGCAGCCCCAGAGGTTTCCTTCTTCGAGAACTGTGATCAGGGTAAGTAAGCCAGATTAACCCTTTCCTCCCCATGTTGCTCTTGGCCATGCTGTTTTATCATAGCAGTAGCAACCCTAAGACTGGCAGACAGACAGACACAAAATATTTTGGGAAGTATACCATATAGTAAGAGAAATTGATACCAAGTAATTCAATTGCATGGCTGAAGAGATGGTTCAGTGGTTAAGAGCACTGGCTATTCTTGCAGAAGACTCGGGTTCCAGATCCCAGTGTCTACTTGTTGGCTCATAGCCATCTGTAATTCCACTTCGTGTGGATATGGTGCCCTTGTCTGCCCTTCAGGGGCACTAGGCACTCATGTGGTACATAATACACACACAGACAAGACTCTGTACACATAAATATCTTTTCCTGATCCTAACTCTAATAAATAAATATTTTAAAAAGTAAGTAAGAAGGAAGAAAGAGCATAGGGCTGTAGTTCCGTGGTGGAGTTCACCTTTGGCATACAGGAGGCCCTTGGTTCAGGCTCTAGCTCCAAAGACAGGAGGGAGGCAGGAGAATATTGGGGTGGAAAAGGCCTGTAATCCTAGAACTCCTGAGGTATAAGGAAAATCATCACAAGTTCAGGGCTAGCCTGGGCTACCTAGTAAGTTCCCAGCCAGCCAGGGTTATATAGTGAGATCTTGTTTAAAAAGGGGCAGGGAGGGGGGGAATGGATGGGAGGGAAGGAGAGAGGGGAAACTGCCATTAGAATGTAACGTATGAAAGGAATAATTAAAAAAAATTTTAAGAAAGGTCAAGCCTGGGGCTGGAGAGATGGCTCAGCGGTTATGAGCACTGATTGCTCTTCCATAGGATCCAGGTTCAATTCCCAGCACCCACATGGCAGCTCATAACTGCCTATAATTCCAGTTTCAGGGAACCCAACAACTTTACACAGATATACATGCAGGCAAAACATGAATGCACATGAAATAAATTAAAGAAATCATTGTAAAAAAAAAAAAAAAAAGAAAGAAAGAAAGAAAAAAGAAAAGAAAGGTCAAGCCTGGACAAGGTAGACTTTTTCTCAAAATACAAACAAACAGGGCTTGGGATGTAGCTCAGTGGTAGAATGTTTGCCTAGGGTGCATGAAACTGTAGGTTTAATCACTAGGACACACATTCTACAAAGTCTTTAAAGAATAAGTAGAGTGGGTTAGGACACAGCTCAGTAGTAACACATGTGCTTAGTGTGATCCTGGGGTTCAATTCCCCTGCATCCCATCCTCCAGAGAAGAACCCTTGAAGCATCCTGACCCCACTTCATATTAACTTGGTGTACCGTTCCTCTGCAGGGAAGTTGACAGACATCCACGGGAATGCCCTCCAGTACAACAAGGAGGTGAAGCACATGAACTCTGCCGGAGTCCTGGCTGCACTGAGGAATTATGAATACTACGCTAGCCGAGTTCCAGAGTCTGTGAAAAATGCACTGACTCCCTGAGGGGCTGTTTCCCTGGAGGACTTGGTTCTCACAGTAACATGTCTTAGAACTGAATTAGAGCTCATTGACCAGTGATTTGTATCAGTAGTTAGGGATAGAAGAGGCATTAAAAATTTTACTATACATAGTCTAATACTCACATGCCTTAAGCATATAATACATTTTATTTGTCATTTCTCCTGCCTAAAAATAATTAGCCAGGTGTGGTGGCACATGTGATAGTCACACAGATATTTCAGTGGTTGAGCTGGGAGGATTTCTTGAGCCCAGGGCCCTCAAGACTAGACTCTACTACACAGCAAGACACTGCCTAAAATCGGAGAAAAAAAAACAAAAGGAATCTAGTTTTACCATTAGCTAACCAGACCAATTGTTTTGACATCTGGGTAAGTTTTCATTTCAATGCCTTAAGTGGTCTTTTTTTGTTGCTTTTGTTATGGTTTGCTTGTTTTTGCTTTTGTTTTTTGAGACAGGGTTTCTTCTCTGTATAGTCCTGGCTGTCCTGGAACTCCATCTATAGACCAGGCTGGCCTCCACCTCTGCTTCTAGAGTGCTGGTATTAAAGGCATGTGCCACCACTCCTGGCTCAAGTGTTATTGTTTTTAAGTGGAGAAATGAAAAAGGATTAGTTCCAAATAACTGTCCCAGTCATTTGTACAATCAACATTCCTGCTTGTAAACTGGATTTCTTCAAGACAGAGTCTTTGTTGTTCTTGTTGAGACCGTTTTTCTTTGTAGCCCTGGCTGTTCTGGAACTTGGCTCTATAAATCAGGCTAGCCTCAAACTCACAGAGGTTGGCCTGCCTTTGCCTCAAGTGCTGGCTTTAAGGGTGTGTATTACCACTGCTCAGATAGGACCCAGAATCTTAAGTTGCATCAGAATTTCACTTTTTTTTTCCCACAGTAATTTTTAGAATTGATGACTCCACCAAGAATGCATAATGAGATTATTTATGTTGATAGATTTATGGGGGAAATTTCTTTAAAATAAATTATTATTTGCTCCTAGATCTCCATACTGTGTGTCAGTTTTCTTTTCAAAAGTATTTGAAACAAAATACTATGGGTGTTAATTTATTCTCTTGTCATGAAAAGGCATAATTGGAAAGTTGGGTAATTGCCTTTATTCCTTCCACTGAGAATGTAACTTGCATTAGCTTCATTGTCGCCTTGACTAGACTGAGAAGCCCTACCCAGATCAGGAAACAGGGTTTCCAGAAAAAAATGAACTAACCTGGAAGAGCAGCTGTGTATGCGGGTGGCTACTGCTATCTGGGGCTTCAAGCTCCAGCGGCACACAGCTCTGACAAGAGATCCACAGAGTGGCCAAAGCTAAACTTTTCTGAGGGGGATTAGGGGAAAAGGCACTCACAAACTCTGATGATTTCCTTCTTTATTCTCTACTTTATTCTCTCTTTATTCCCCCCCCCCACACACACACCCGTCTCTCTGCCCCCTCATGTTTTTTCAGTTTTTATACCCCAACAAATCTTCCTGGCAGTACAAAAGTCAAAACAGTTGCATTCCATTTCTCAAGTGAATGATTATAGATTTAAAACAAAACAAAACAAAAAACTCCCTCACATGATTAAACATTTTATGTATTACAGGTGAAAAACAAATTATTCCAAGAACCCACATACATTCATACCCAAGCAACTTGTTATAGATTAACCCTGTGGGAAAGGAAGGTGTTCTTGTCAGGTCTTTTACTGGCAGGCTGCATTTTATAGTTACAAACAAAGGGCCAGTTACTTCATTACTTTTCTTGAAAGATAATCCTATAAGGATTCTTAAAGGAATCACAAACATAAACTTTTATTTATGAAAAAGAATCAGCCAGCTCTACTTTAAATCTTTAGGGTGCATATCCATTCATTAGTAGTCTTTTTTTGTATCAGGAGATTAAGGGCAGAAATGGGTATAAGGAATTAATCATCACCTTTGCTTATCAACCAAACCTAGCAAGGAGAGTATGTCAGCTGGTAATAACTGGGCTGCTTTGTTCTTGTCCCCTGACCTTAAAGAGTTTCACATTTAACTATTTGTCTTCTTGGATATTCACTTCAAAGTTATTTAACAAAGGCATCTTAGTCTAACTTTATTATTTTCTTTTCTTTCCTTCGTTTTGTTTTGTTGTTGTTATTTTGTTTTGGGACAGGGTTTCTCTGTATTGCTTTGGAGCCTGTCCTGTAACTAGCTCTGTAGTTCAGGCTGGCCTGGAACTCACAGAAATCCACCTGTCTCTGCCTCCCAAGTGCTGGGACTAAAGGCGTGCACCACCAACACCCGGCTAACTTTGTTATTTTCAGAGCTTTATTTCAGCTGTGATGCACTCCCGAGACCTGTGAACACATCGCCTGACATTAAGGTTAAACGAATTTAAACTAACTGGGCTACTGAGACTCAATTGTTAATCCTTGAGCTACAATCCAAGTAGCTCCTTAACTGAAACTTACAGACCCTGGCTATGAAACATTTCCTTGTATTTATTTTTATTCATCAAACTATCATTATTATTATCAAATTAAACTGTACAGCTTAGGGAGATGTCATCTTCTTGACAATCCATAGGTAAAAATGCCCAGTACATGAGGCTGTTTGCAAGAGATAAGTGTACTATATTATGGGCAGTGGAGATCTCCCAATGTCATTCACACCATGCTAGATAACAGAGGAGAGCTGCAGCAAACATGTAAAGGCACAGCACAAGAAAAAGACTTTCCAGGGTCTGCAGTCCCGTGGCCTTGCCTAAACCAGACTGGCCCAATCCAACTGTCTATCTTAGGGTATCCAATACCCTCTTCTGGCCTCTGCAGGCACCAAGCACATATGTGGTACACAGACATATATGCAGGAAAAAACACTCATACATGTAAAAAGTCAAGCCTCCTGTATTCGTATTCAAAGTCTGCTTGGTTTTGCTTTTGACGTCAGGATAAACTTGAGGTTCCTTATAATGGTACATGAAACTCTTAATGTCCTGGCATCTTCCATGTCCAGCAGCAGCTCTGATTATTATATACCACATCCGTGCTCAACCATTTGATGTTGCCCCAGAAGACTATATGTACTCAAATATTAATGCAGCATTCACTGTTACTCACTTCATACAGGTCCTGTCCATTCAACAATGGCCATGGCACTGACCAGAAGTCTGTTCCTTTGTAAGTTATTTCATATTGTGTTAAGTTCTGTAGAAGAAACTGACTTGGAAGGTGCTAGAAAGCAAGTGAGGTGGGAAGTCTGGCATGGAGTTTCCTCTAGAATCTAGATGGAGGAAGTATATCTTCTCTGAGGGAGTCTGAGGTTAAGAGCAAGACAAGGAATTGAGCCATGCTACAAGCTAAGGTTTCATGTGGGAATAGCAGGTACATCTCTAAGAGAAACAAAAACCAAACAACAACAAAATAACAGAAAGCAAGCCACTATGGCTATAGTAAAATGAATATATGGTTCTACAAATGATAAAATGAAGCTGAGTGTGGTCACATCACCTGGGGGGGGGGGATTGTTAAAACTTTAAGGTAAAGAGTTTCAATAACTCTTTGCCAGTTGCATGTAAACCCCCATGTACATATACATACCTGTTGCAGGTGAAAAGTGTTCAGTGGTGCTGCAAATGAAATGTTTTTGTGGAAATTAAACACATTCAAAGCAGCTGAATTCGTGGAGTCTGAGTCTTTGGGTGGCTAATTCATTACTTAATGAACACCATGGTCTGTTTTTCACAACTGGGGCTTAGCTTTCTTTACATTCCAGCTCCCCATCAGCTTCTGCTGCACCACAGGCCTCCTCCATGGGTTTTCCATGACTGTACCTGAGATAGTCAACTTACAGAGAGACTAAATCTCATCATGGCTCAGAGTTTTGGAGGTTCTAGTCCATGAACACTTAGCCCTGCTGTCTGGGAGCCTGTGGATGAGACAGTATATTCTGCTAGGAGCCTGTGGTGGTGCCAAGAAACAACAAAAAAAAGAGTGGAGCCATGTTCTCAAAATGCTTTACTACCTTACCCCAGAGCCCAGGAAATCTGTAGGTCCCACCTCTTAATATTTCTAGCACCTTCCAGCCCCCATTTTGAGTTTCAACCACATCTATCAGGATCTAATGCTGGAACTTAGTCCAAAATAATGGAATCCTGTAATTTTATTTGATAAGTTCCTGTCTTTGATCCAATTTCCCCAAGTTTTTAAGGGGCTAAAAGGGACTTTGAGATTTTATAGATAAGGCAAAGGAGGTGTACATAGCTAACAGGCAGTGCTCAGGTTTACATGATCTCAAGTCTGGGTCTGTTAGGAATTCCTGAAGTCATTACTGTCCTTACAGACACACAATCTTGTTATCATGTGATGATTGCTTTTGCTTCAGGCTGTACTCAGCAGGAATGGGTGGGGTGAGTTGAGGCTTCTTTGTGTTTGAGAGTAGTTTTGGTCCTTTGACATAAAGATGTTCATAGATTGGACCTATCACCCCAGGAATTCAAGGTAATTCTAGAAGAGTATTACTCAGGGTAGGGCAGAGAAGAAGCAGAGGCAGAAATGAAGCCTAAGGGAACAAATGGTAGTTCATTGGCTGATACCGTCTTTCATACCATTGTAGTAATAGGTACCTTGCCAATTCCACAGAATAGCAGTATATAAATGTAGCCATCTTTGGTAGAGATTCTGAGGCAGGGACCCAAAGAAATAACAACCCTATAGTTGCATGAAAAGCTTAAGTCTCCCTAATGAATACATGGACATGTTGCTGAGATTAATGCAGAGTAACGGAAGATCTGTACTGGTTTCTGAAATTAATCCTACCCCCTTGAACTTGGACTTCAACCTCTGGAAAATGCCCTGGGCAAACACACACCCATCACAGAGAATTTAGGGGCTGGAGAGATGGTTCAGAGGTTAAGAGCATTGGCTACTCTTCCAGGGGATCCTGGTTTGGATCCTTGCAACCACATGGCAGCTCACAACTGCCTATAATTACAGTTTCAGGAGATCTGGCACCATCACACAGACATACATGTAGGCAGAACACTAATACCTAATACATATAAAATAAAAAGAAATAAAAAAGAAAACCCTCTGAAAGCTCTTACACTCCAAAACAAGACAAAATAGGGCAGCAGTAGGGTTTCGGTTTTACATCTGAGCAATCTAGTCAGGAATCTGTCCTTGAGATACTATACACAACTCTTAGGCCAGATATAGTTCTTGGAGCCCTTTCTAAGTCTTTTGCTTTGTTTGTTTTTCCAGACAGTTTCTCTGTGTAGCTTTGGAGCCTGTCCTGGCCCTCACTCTGTAGATGAGGTTGGCCTCAAAATCAAATAGATCCACCTGCTTCTGACTCCCAAATGCTGGGAGTTAAGGCATGCGATACCACCACCCAACTCCTTTGTAAGTCTTTTAACTGTTACTGTAGTTACTTTTTTTGGTTTGTTCATCTGAGACAGAATTTTTATCATCTATTTATCTATCTGTCTGTCTATCTACCTATCTATCATCTATCTTATTCTAAGGGTTGAAATATTCTATATAGGACAGACTATCTTGGAATCTGCTGTCTCCTGTTTTAATCAACACATTTGGCTTAACTATTTTTTTTCAAATATGCAAAGAACTCTTCTTTACTTAAAACAAACCATAATATCTTTTTTTTTTCTTTAGATACTATTTATTCAGTAGCTCAAGTGATCTTGAACTGAACCCCTGGCAATCCTCTTACCTCAGATACCCAAGTGCTAGGATTGTAGGTAACCACTCCTGGCTTACAGACAACTCTTCAGGGTTTGTCTGTCTGCTTGTTTTCATGTATGCTAGGTGCTCTACCATTGGAATACATCCCTAGCAGCAAATCTTTTTAAAAAAATCATTAACTTTTTTTTTCTAGTTCTTTGAGGTAGGGCCTTGAACTCTACATGTGGACCTTGCCTTGATGCTGTCATCATCAGGTGACATAGCCTGTGACTGCTGTTGGCAGTCTGAAGACTTCCACAGAGGGAGCCTAGGCGTCCTCC